ATTGAATTCCTGCCTCTAAATGAGTAATGTAGACTCTTATTTGTGGTCTGTGTTGTTCAGAGACTTGCAGCCTGTAGAAGTTTAACATGATGTCACTTTGCACTGCAGGATAAATTGATGGCCCGTGCTGTGTTGTACCCTGAAGCTTTTCTACAATGTAAAATTGTTACTGAATGTCACTACAGGAGGGAGTCCAGCCTCCTTAAAAAGGGATGGGAAAGGGATACACTTTTTTTTTCAATGCACATTGATATGCCACTAACTAAACAATCAGATCTACTAACACAGGGTGAAAATGTCCATTTGCGCCCTCTGTATCTGACACAGGCTTGTAGTGCATGAATATGCAATACTGCAAACATCTGACACCACTGACAACGATCCCTGCCGTACTAGTCACTATAACGCTGGTTAGCGCTTCATGTTGAATTGAGCTTGGTTGTCGTCGGCTGTTCAGTGTTGTAGCTGTGAAGTATTATTTCTTGTGAATCCAAAACTGCTGTGTTCTGTGATATCATGATCTATTTATTGTGTTGTCACTGCAACTACATTTAAAATTAAATGTTAAATATATACAAATAAAATATTGGCAGTGTGTGGTTTATATCTTCCACCTCTTCAACAATCAGTGATTATTAAAGAAGATGAAACACTTGGAGCTTTTCAAGCTTGTGTCATGTTTTAGACTCATTCTCATCCTAATCACACACTATGTATTAAAACACAATATTAACCATAATTGTTTTAGTCGTACCTTTTTGGATTGCAGTTTAAGAATTCTCAATTATTTTGGTAGGTCAGAAGCAGCTTTTTTGGAAGTCAGTCATAATTTACATTGTTAAACATTCTTTAAGAATTGTGAATAATAAAATTATGTTGAAATATAGTCCCGATCAAAAGTTTAAGACCACCTGAAAATTGCAAAAAATCCTATTTTGCATGGTTGGATGGATAATAACACTGCTTCACTGCAGCAACATCAGGCAATCTCCATATACGGATTCCTGGCTTTAAGTTTTTGATCTACTGCAGAATATTTTTAAGGGTGTTATCTACTATAAAAAACCATGCCAGCAAAATCTCCAAGTTTTTCTGTTTTATCCTGTTACTTTGACACAAAGGCATCTGCTGTGATGCTTACACAACTGATAAAGTGGCAGCTTAATTTTTTTTATACACAGCCTACAAACTCAGTGCAAACTAACTGCAGAGAAATAGTCAAATAATTTTGAATTAAATATTCTTAATTTACAAGGCTTAGAGGGTTCTTTCGACAGGACATATCCTAGATAAATGGACAAAATTATAATATTTCTGACTGACTCAAAATGGAACAAAATCGAATCGGGACCTTGTGAATCAGCTGTAGAAATCAGTGACGATAGTAGTGCCTGCCCGACTGCCTTCATTTCCACAATGTTTATTAGGAGGGCAGAGTTCTCAGAAAAGCATTGAGTAACCTCTCTGCACGTCATAGAAGATCTTCGGAAAGTGTTCAGGAAACGCAACAGAGAGACCGTCCTCAGGCAACATGGAGGACACAGCGACCAACTGGTCAAACTCAGATGTAAATGATGTTGAAACGTGTATTTTCTGTTTAATAGCGAACAAAAAAGACGAAAACACAAAGATAATAAAAGAGGTGAGATGCTTTTTTTTTTTTTATCCCATGTAGAGCGATACAGGTGTTATAGGAGGAAACTGTACCCGGAAGTTGCGGATCCGAGGTTTTGATATACTATTAAACACACACATAGTTAGTTGGAGATTTTAGCACTTGACGGCAGATGAAGTTTAAAGCGTATGGCAAATCAGCTATTTAATAGAAGAAACAGACTACAGCAGGGAAACCGCGGGGGCGGCATTTCACGACGAGAGCTGTTTTGCAACTTTGAGCCAAAACAAATAAAACTGTATGAAACAGGGCATTTAGAGCAGTCTGAGCTCTTTTGGCTGTTTGTAATGTGAGCACCCACCAGCCCAGACAGGTAAAAACCTGTCATGTGACAGAAAATAAAGAAAAGCACAACAGGTCCACTCTAAAGTGTGTAAATCTAAAAATGCACTTTGTTTAAATCCAGATGCTTTAACACCTGCAAATCACCAAAACGTTAAAGGGTCCCTGCGCAGGCACAGGTCCATGCATGACTTCTTATTTGGTTGAGGACTGGTTACATCTTAAGTAATGATAATACATTTATTATTTATATGCACCTTTCAAGACACTCGCGGACCCCTTACAATGCCGAGGCAAAGAGAGTAGCCAAGCATCAAAAGATTTTAAGGCTGGTTTTAAGTGGTGGGTTTCTCTTCATCTATGTGCAGCTAAATTAATAGTTCAAAGTCTCCGCACACCTGAATGAGTGACAGGTGGAAAAGTTCCATGACAATTTAAATCTAATTCCCACACGCTGCCTCGCTTACTGCAAATACATTTAAGCCTCAGTGTTTCAGTCAGTCTGACATTCATCAGGTATGTGTAATAATGTATCTACTCAGAAAAAGTGAGTAAAGTAATAACAATAATAATAATGCTGTATATTTTAAAACTGAGTCCCACTGCCACCTTTTCATGTACTGTGCAGAGTGGGAGTTTGTGTCCGGGGTTTCCTGGTTCTTTTATGTGCACAGCTGGAGTAGCGCTACCGCCTCCAATAGGAAGAGTGCCTCGACACGGTACTTTCTGATCCACCAGGGAAATATACTGTACTGAGTCTTGATAGTGCTGCATTCACAGCTTGAATGACTCTTTCATTTTTCTGCCCCGACTACAGACTAAAGACCTGGTGTGTTTCAGCGACATTTTCCCAGGTGCGCCTCACCACTACCTGGTTGTTCCCAGAGAGCACATACCCAGCTGCTTCTCACTGCACAAAGGACACATTGATCTAGGTCAGTTAGTCCTCTGTCAACTTACCATACTATCTCCTAACACTGTGGCTATCCTGTCGTCACTACTGCTGCAAGTTTTCCTTTAAATACTTTAAACTAGACTATTACTGCTGGTACTATAGACTTCTGATACTCTTATTTTTCCAACTATTTGAGATTATCAAAACTATATCACATAACCCATAAGAAATCATGTCTCCAATAGTTGAAAGGATGGCTAAACTGGGGAAAGATGTGCTCCACGCCCAAGGGATTACTGACATGGCGGATATAAGGTTGGTGGAGACGGTTCTTGGAAGTACCGGAAAAAATATTCATACTAGTAAAAAGGCAAAGTCTGCAAACTCAAGTTCTCTCGTGGGCATTCAGGAATCATTTACAGTGGACACCCATTTTTCATCCATCCATCCTTGCATTCATCCATGCATACATCCACCCACTCACAGGGCTAAAGCACAGAGACGGACGATCATTCACGTTCACGCTCATATGAGGTTAATCAGCGATCCAAAATTGGCCGTAGTTTTGAATACGAGTGTGAAGTAAAATCCTGCAGTTTCTGCTGGGTGCATTGTAGCTGCCCGAAGCCAAAACTCAGTAAAAATCTTACTTTTAACATTAAATTAAAAAAGCTACAGTGTATCTTAAAAAATGATATTAAAGGGAGGGTGGATGAATCTTTTGCTTTAAGTAACTGCATAAGTAATCTTCGTGCTAATGTAATCTATATAATTATAGTTTAACATGGAGTGAGGGGTCTAGTTGCTCTGTTGTTTGTAAGCGTTTCATCCCTGCTCTGGGCGGCTGAATTTCAGTGCTGATGTGTTTTTCTCCACAGGCTGGGGTTCCACCAGCCGCCCTTCATTTCAGTAGGTCACCTCCACCTCCACGTGCTCGCCCCAGCCAGCCAGATCTCAAAGTACATGTTGTATAAGTTCACTCCAGAAACCAACTATTTTGTTACTGTGAGTACTGCAGGCGACTTCTTTCCTCATTCTGTTTTTTTTTTTCTTTGATTTTCTTTATTAGTTTTCTTACACTACAATAACTAAACCACTGCAGCGGTTTCCATGCAGTCACTGTTTTTATCAGGCTACTTCTGTTACTTCACATTTGAACTGATAAACTCATAATTTCCCCTTTGCAGGAAGAAGTTTTACGCAAGCGTCTTAAAAGTATCTCCCCACCACTCCGGTGTCATTATTTAGAGAACTGCAAGTTATTTCAGTGCATCAATTGTGCTCAGACTGGACTTTAGATCAGAGCAGGGAAACAAAACCAAAAAATCTCAGAAGAATCGCTGAGGCAGAATGAAGACTGGAGACACTTTTGAAATGCCTTTGTAATTGTTTAGAGCGATATTTACCACTTTAATATTCATTAGCAGTGACTGACCTCTGCACGGGCCAGTGCAATATAGAAAATTAACGGTCAGATTTTATCTATAGTGTTTTGTGCTCGTGCACTGTAACAGTATCGTTTTTGAATGAATGCACGTGGGAAATGAATTGTACTTTTATCATAAGAAGAGACAAGACTGATTCCACTAAGTATTTTTTAAAATAAAATTATTTATTTAAATAACATTATTGAGAGTTTTCTATTACTGACAGTCACTGTAAAGAAGAAAAATGTGTGGAGATACTGTTGCCTCTGTATTGGATGTGTGTCTGCTTGTTTGTAATGATATTAAAAAATAAACAGTTTTTTAAATAAAATAAAAAATCATTCATGGAGAACCCTTTAATAAACTAATAATTAAGGTAATTAAGTTTTAAGGCCAGTGTTGTGACTTTCTAATGTTAATTATTTTAGTACAGTGTCATAATCCTGGTAATCCTCACTGGCAGATATGTGTGTATAGATAAATATAGATTCATCAAGTTGCTGGATACATCACAGATCTTGGTTAATATTGACACGATAGCGTCACACAGTTGATGCAGATGTGTAGGCTGTACACCCATCTTGCGAACGTCCCCCCATCCCAAAACCTCCCAGTGAATGAACGGGACACGACTCAAATGCAGATATTACACAAAAATAAAACCTACAAACTGTATCAGTGAGCCAGAGTTGGAGGGCATAGACCAATGATCATACACCTCTGAGAGTGAAATATGACTTTAATCCAACATATTTTAACTTAGAGTAGTAATTGAAACTACTGTTTCAATTATGGAGCTATACAAAATGAGTCCTCTGGGCCTTTCTCTCCACTTCACAACAGTATTTTTCACCAAGCCCTATAACCCTGCACACAGACATGCACATTAGGTTCATTCATTATATCCAGTAAACCTGATATATGACAATCATGCCTGAATATTACTACAGTAACCTGCTCATGCTTACCTGAGCTCCTTTAGTTTCTTTTCCTTTATCTCATTCAGGCGCATCTGTCGCTGCTGGGCTTCCTCCAGCAGTTTGTCAGCCTCCCCGAACCCCTCTCTATGCTCAGCTTTGGCAAGCTTCTTGCGCTCATTCACCTGCTGCCTGACGGCCTCAGCGTGGCGCAGCACTTTCTGACGTTGCCTCTCCTGCTGCTCCTTTTCTTTGGCCTCTGCTTCCTTCTGAGCCCTGTGTGGAGGAAAAATAGCAATTTCATGCAAAAACGTGCAGAAAATGCACACTGAGGTGGGAAAAACAAACAAAAGCCCCCCAACTTTCTTACTTCAGCATCCGATCAAACTCTTCCTTCTTTATGGTGGCCTGCACTGTCTGGTAGTGCTGTTTGCTGTGAACTTGCTCCAGCCGAGCAGCCCCCAGCATCGCCTCCTGCTGTGCTTTCCTCACGGCCTGCTCTCTGTTTTTCTCCCTCCATTTCTTTTGTAACTCTTCTTGATGCCGATGGGCACAGAGTTCATCCTTTTTAAAATCCGCAGAAACACCAGCATAAGTGGCCGAGAACAGTTAAAAGTCATATTAATCCACCTGTAATAAGGTTAACGCTTCAAAAACAATTTCTGACCTGCTCTGCCTTATAGTTTCGATCTTTTTCTTGCTGGGCCCTCAGCTTAGCAATCTCCATCTCCTTCTCTTTCCTTATCCGCTTTTGCTCTGCTTCACGTTCCGCGTCCCTCGCCTGCAAAAACAATAAAATATCAGCAGAGAACAAACATCTGTAGCCGATCTACAGAGTTCAGTTGCTTTTCCAGCTGACCTGTTTCTTTTTAATGTATTCCATGGCTTTAATGTCCGCCAGCTTCTCCTCCTTCATCCTCTGCTCCTTGACTCGGAGGGTCTCAGCATTGATGCGCATGATCTCCTCCTGCATACGCTGCTGCTCCATCCTATTCTTCTCTTTAGCCTGGAACAAAGCAGCCGGTCAGAGATGAAACTGACTCCCGTACACTGCACTGTGTTCACGTTAGTGAGTTTAAGTCTGCACATGGGCCGTGTGTGCACCTTGAGGTCATCCTTTTCCATCTTCTTCTGGTTCTCCTTTATTTGCTGTTTCTCTTGCTCTCTCATCTTTCTCTCATTTTCCTTTTCCTCTAGATGTTTCTGAATTTGTTCTAAAAGTTGCACTCTTCCTCTGAAATGTAACACACACAAACAGAGTGACAGATCTCCTAATGGCCTCCTTTTTGGATCAGATAAAGTGCATAATTTAACGTCTTCCCATCCTTGGAGTTATTTTAAGAATATATAAAGCATTTGGTGAAGAAAAAAAAGGTGCTCTCTTTACTCGTTCCTGTGCTGTTTCCTCAGCTCGTCGATCTTCCTTTCAGTCTCCAGACCCTTTTGGCGCTTTGCCTCCATCACCGCATCCAGGCGCCTCTCCTCCTCTTCCATCTCTGCCTGGATCTGCTTCTTCTCCTCCAGCTGAGCATTGATTGTGGCTTGACATTGAGCATTCAGAATAAGCTGAGGGAGTGACAAAAACAGAAGCATTTATATGTGTGTGAATTGACACCGCCTTTGTTTTCTTCATCCACATACTCCCAGCCAATTCCTACCGTGTTCAGCCTTTTGATTTCCTCTTCTTGCTCCATCCTTAAAGCGTTAGACTGCTCCAGCAAGCTCTGTGAACGTTTCCGGGCCTCTTGCTCGAGCTCAGTCAGGGCCTTGTTGTTCTTACGGGACAGATCTGTTGCCTGGATCTGCTGCTTCCTTTCCTCTGCGGATTTCTGGGGAGCCATCATATAGATATCATATTGCAAAATCACAGGAACAAGCCTCTTGTGTTAATGTCCAAGAAAACATCATCAGAGCCATGAATCCTACCGTTTCCTCTTCCTCCTTTCTCTGATAAGCCTGGTGAAAAGCCTCTCTGTCCTCCTTGAGGTTAGCCTGGGATGCTAAAATGATGCGTTTATACTTAGCTGACGGGAGAAAGACTGACTTTCCCAAAGGACTGTTAAGTGGGATTCTGGCATAACGACAGGAGGAATTATGTTGTGGTGAGGATGTCCATTTTGGGTTAAAACATCATTATCATCATGACATTTGTTTTTAAAAAAATCTAATTGTCTCTCTAAATCACTTGAAACGATACCAGGTCATACATTAATGGAAAACTGTTAGGTGCACCATTGTTTTTTTTAAATTCATATTAAATGTAATCAAATTGCTTCCATTTCCATGTTTTAAAAATGTGCATTATGCTTTTTAAACCAGCGGAGAAACTCAACAGGTTTGGGACTACCTGAGATTGCGGATGAGGTCTTTAGAGATGATTTGAATGGTGTCTTTGTCTTTTTTGATCTTTGACGGAGCTTCCTCACAAGGATCGTCTTCACAAAGCTGTGATGATATCTTAGCAGTTGTTAGTTGATAAAAACTCGCAAAATAGCACCATAATTAGTGAACTCAACACACAAGTATTTTCAGTTTTCTTTTTGGGTTTTCTTTTTTCTTACTTGTGATATCCACTCACTGGCCACTTCATTAGGTTCATTTGCTCATTAATCCAAATATCTTATCAGCCAGTCACTTGGCAGCAACTCAGACACTAGGTACACTGTCTCCTTAATACTGTCTGGACATCAATTAAATGCCACAGCCCACCTGAGTAGTTCTGCTGACCATCTCCAACCCCTTATTGACAACAGTGTAACCATCTTCTAATCGCTGCTTCCAACAGGATAACACACCATGTCACAAAACTCACATCATCTCAGGCTGGTTTCTTGAATATGACAGTGAGTTCACTCTACTCCAATGCCTCCACAGTCACGAAATCTCACCTTTGAGATTCTTATGGTGGATGTACAGTCAATAGATCAGCAGTAACTATGTAATGCTATTATGCCAATATGGAGCAAAAATCTGAGTAATGTTTCCAGCGCCTTGTTGAAAATTTAAGGTAATTCAGAGGGCAAAAAGCGGTGCTAATAAACTGCACCTAATAAATTGGCCGGTGAGTGTAGTTAAGATGTGACATTTCACTCTGTGAGAGTAACACTCACCGGGTCTGGGCTCCCAAAGAGGATGTCGTCATCATCCACCTGAGAGCTTGGGCTCAGTGGGCGGTAGCAGCTGCTAAAAGAGCTAGCTCTGGAACTGGACGGATGTCTCTGCTGGCATTGAAAACAACAGTGGATGAATATACAGGGACTTTTTCTAGCGTTAAATACAGACTTTATAGAATAGTATCTTTTGCATTTAAAAAACAGGATCTAGCATCTAAGGCAATATGAAAAGTGGCTTGTCAGTGCTCGCTGTAACATATAGACTTACCATGATCTGCCGTTAACAAAGTCCAGGCAACGGAAAATAAATGTTTCTAAGATTATCCAGTTTTAAGACTAATATAGCTGCAATACTCAGTGTTATTCTCCCATCTATAGACATGCGCTTAGCTTCTTTAAAAACTTTAAAAACGTAGCGACACGGATTTTAATTGGCGAGTAATCTGTTGCTATGGTGACAGAAGGGCAAACGTTAGACATCCTCTACTCCTTTAAAGTCAAGCGTATCATATTTGATACATGAATTTTTGTGAGTTTTTGAGACTTCTACATCATCAGCGTGACTTTTTTTTTACCCTCAAAAAAATGATAGAAATTGCATGACACATTATTAATGACTAAAGTGCAAAAGTATGGCCTATGTAGCAAATGTGATACAAATTAAAACTCATATATGCAGATTAAAATTTGATATATTTTTATAGATTTTGTCTAAAAGTTCAACCAACTTTCCATTATCAAAAAATTAATCTCTGACTTGGGGTTCAGACTGAACCTGTTCAGCTCTCGTAAATAAAATAAATAAAATAAAATAAAATATATATTTATTATTTTATTTTTTTTCCTAAGACAAATAATTTGACGGTGCACTCTGGGCTCGACTAGCTCTGTCTTCGGGCGATTGTCCTGCCTTTGTCTCTGGGCACACCCAGGAATTATATTACAGCATTTACTGCGCTCTATATAAAAGACGCTTTAAAACTCACGAATGGGGACGCTGGAGGCTTCTGGGATTGATGACTGTAAATTCTGTGAAATAGTAAACAACAAAACTGACACAGAGATCCTGCTGAGCGTGAGTAAAACAACAACAACATTCATTCATGTTTAAGGAGAAAAAAAAGTTAGCCACTGGAAATTCCTGTCTCTCTTTCTCTCTCTCTCTCTGTGTGTGTGTGTGTGTGTGTGTGTGTGTGTGTGTGTGTGTGTGTGTGTGTGTGTGTGTGTGTGTGTGTACAGGACGATGAGCTGGTTTGCTTTCGTGACATGAAGCCTGGAGCCACCCATCACTACCTGGTTATTCCCAGGATGCATATCAGCAACTGTAAAACCCTTAAGATGGACAACATACCTCTAGGTGAGGAAACATGAACTTAATCAGTCTGTTTGTTTGCTTGTTTGTTTGTTTGTTTGTTTTTCCTGGTAGCAACTTCTGCTGACAAGACTTGGTCAATGGGAAAATATGAGTCGGTAGTTATGATTGATTACACAAAAGCACCCCACCCTTTAAAGCAACATGTTTCCAAGCAACTGATTATTTATATAGCACCAAATCACAATAGTTGCTTCAAGCGGCTTCATATTGTAAGGTCATACATAGCATGTAGATGACCCCCTATGAGCAAGCACTTGGCGACAGTGGAAAGGAAAAACTCCCTTTCAACAGAAGGAACATTGCACAGGGAGGAGCAGCCATCTGGTTAATCAGTACAAACTATTTTAATAATAGTTTATAGTAAATTCAGCTTAATGAGTAAATTGTTTTGTTGAGTCACCAGTATGACCTCAGTGAGCTTAGCTTTGTAGTTTGTGTCTGTAAAGACAGATTTAAAAGCGCCACCATGACCATGAAATGATTAATTGTGTCTTCAGAAATCAGCTGCACACCCATGATACAAATTTCCTGTTCCGCTAAGCCAAATGAGCTCTACTGGACTGAGATCTGGTGACTGTTCACAAACCATTTTTTTAGGCTTGTGCTTTCAGAGATGCTCTTCTGCATACCTCGGTTACAAAGCGTGTTGATTTGAGTTCCTTCCTATCAGCTCGAAGCAGTCTGGCCATTCTCCTCTGACCTCTGTCATCAACAAGCCATTTTCACCCAGAGAACTGCTACTCGCTGGATATTTTCACATTTTCAGACCTCTGTAAACTCTAATGATGGTTTTATGGGAAAAAAAAAAATCCCAGTAGCTCAGTTTTTGAAATGCCTACAACAGCCCGTTTGATAGCAGCAACCATGCCACATTCAATGTCACGTCAGTCACCTTTCTCCCTCATTCTAACGTTCTGTTTGAACCATGTCTACATACACTGAGGTGCTGCTATGTGATTGGCTGATTCGATATTTGTGTTAATGTTCAGGTGTGCTTAATAAAGTGGCTAGGGAGTATATGTACATATGTGTAAAACTGTCTTGCATAATCTTGACTTTCTGATCGCACATCGCCGATAAGTTTTATTTGTTGACAGTGGAGCGGATGGAACAAATGGGAAGAAGTATACTGGAGAAGAACAAAGTCTGCAGCCTCGATGACGTCAGGTAAAACAATCCCTGTGATGAGCTGCGACTCTTTATCACTTAGAATTTTATTATGCTTTCAAATTAAACAGGGTTTTTTTCATGTTGTAATATCTTTTTGTTAATTTTATTTTGTAGGCTGGGGTTTCATCTCCCTCCATTCTCGTCAGTTCCCCACCTCCACCTCCACGCTCTAGCTCCAGCCAGTAAGATGAACTTGAAGTCTCAGCTTCGCTACGGGCAGCAGTCTTACTGGTTTATTACAGTAAGTCAGGGCTGGATTGAGCCAAGGAAAATAATTCAATTGGGACTGTTTATTTTTAATATCACTAGACAGACATATGGCATGGTAACATTTGTTTCTCATTTGTTATCACGGTCTATGCTTTAAAGGAATTCAATAAAAATCAGATCAGAGATTATTGCAGATTATCACTGACGCCATTCTCTGATGTCAAAATGAGAAACAAGCCACATCTTCTCTCCCATGTTAGGTCTTTTATGTGTGTTGTGTACACCTTTAAGTGCTACCTTCTTTTAAAGTGAAGAGCTTTTAAAATGAGTGAATTTACTACATGTGAATACTCTTAACCCTCAGTTTTGCTCTGTTGCAGGTAGACAAAGTGCTTTCACAGCTGAAGACTCATGGCAAAGTGAAATGAACAGATGCAGGTGTAGCAACCTTGTTTGCTGCTTACAGGTTGTTTAATTAGCGTCCACCGCACTGAGTGCACTTTGCATGACTTCTCCAGCCTGTTTGGCATTCTGGTGCTAATACGTTTGAATATTTTCCTCCATGCCGCATGCTGACTTGGTTGTGGAGAAGAGTTCTTTGTATTAATTTTTTTTACTTCTGTTTTCTTTTTTTTATAAATGGTATAGAATTCATGAATATTAATAAAAAAAATCTTGAAAGGCTTCAAATAATGGAGATGATTTCTGTTTTAAAGGTTGCTCTTCCAAATCTCTCCTATTACAAACATAGGTACAACACATGCAGCCCTTCAGTATCCTATACTGTAACTGCTCAACTTTCCATTAGTGCTTTCACGATCATGTTAATTAGCAGAATATGAAGGGTTTGTTGGTTAGTTCCTCTTCAAATCTGTAAACTTGACCACTCAGTAACACATCTGTGTCTTTCACTGAAAAGAATTCAGTGAACTAACTCTTTAGTCACAGTAGAAAGCCAGTTATTGATTGGCATGCTGGGATCTTTTTTGGAAGAGCCCAGCATGCCAATATAAATGCTTTCATGAGTGTTGGATTTTAGCAATGCTAACTGCATGACTCCAGCAATGTGGTTGGACAAGCCAGAAACACTGTACCTAGGAGGCATCTAGGAGACGTTCTAGCAGGTTGCCTGATTCACCTCAAGTGACTCCTTTTGATGTGGAGAGGACATTATCCCCAGAGAGTAATCCTCATGACTATTTATCTGTTTCATTTGTGGTGCACATCACAAAGTTTTTGTCACAGATCAAAATGCAGGGTTAAATAAACCTGCATCAGGCTGTATGCCAAGTCCAAAAAACAGGAAGCACAGGGAAAGATGTGTAGATTTTATGACAAAGACTCAGGGAAAGGACAGGACTATTTATGCACATAGGATTAATAAAGGAACTGGAAACAGCTGGGGGAAAAATACACAGGTGCAAACTAGGCAGGAAGTAAAACTCAAAGCAGGAACAAACGACAACTTTCATATTAAAACAGGAAAATAGCAAATAGCTTAACTAAATACGGAAACAAACAAAAAACTCAGTGAACGGATAAGCAGAAAGGAACGATAAGCATCTAACAACACAAAAAGCATTACAAGAATTATCTAATTCAAACTGGAAAATGAATGCAAACAGTTTCAGTTTAGCTACTATTTTGTTTATCAATACGTTATATCTCTAACTCAAAAATATCATTCATTAATAGAATAAGTCAGAACGCACAGCGGGTCAGACTTTTTCTAACCGGATCAGTTCTTTCTCTGAGCCACTTGATGTCAGTAATGCAATAGGAACTCTCACAATGGCAGATTACATGGAGGGTCCACGTGCATCAACAGGCCTCATATGGTGACTCGCAGCCTGTTTTTTTTACTTATTTAAAATGATAAAGTAGGAACCATCAAAAAGTGTTAGCATGACATCATTTGCCAAGGGCTCCATTCCTGTAAACTGGTGAGTCACTTCAGTCCATGCATTTTCAAAACTGTTCACACAGGACACTGACATGACTCCAAGGCAAATATTCAGCAGTAAGAGTCAAAACTATCTCCTGGTGAGGAGGAACAGGAGCACTTGCAGAATTCAGAGCTCTGCAACACTCCCTTGTATGTCTTTCGCATCTCCAAACTTTTATCTGCTATGAGTCATTTTTACTGTGTATTATTGTGTATCGTCATCATTGTTTCTCACATACATTTCTCATGTGTTTCTTGGTTTATATTATGATAGTGTTGGCACATCTGTCTGAATACATGTAGGGACCGTAACTTTCCATCTAAGGACTGATGTAAGAGGAGACATGATGTAAGGAGTATTGGGTTCCTGAGCTCAACTACCTTATTGTGCTGGCTATTGAATATGTTATATGATTCAACAGTGATGTAGTTTGAGAAAGATATTATGTAACACATGCTTCATAGAATTTGTTCCTCTTTGAAAATATTGATACTGTGATACACAGAGATATGCATTTACGTATGCATTTACAGCTAGGGGCATGATTTATGATGTCATGAAGACCTTGAATAGATTTCCTTGGTGTTTAGTTTCCTACATTTCTCACCAGCGACATATAAAGACAATACAAAACAATTTCATAAATAATATTTTAATGGCAATATGGAAACAGTTACAGCCATAAGTTTTTGGACAATTAAACTTTTTTGTGTGTGTGTGATTTTTGCCACCGCTACAGTTAATTTTAAATCACTCAGGATGTGAGTGAAGTACAGACTCTGAGCTTTAATTAAAGGGGTTTTACAAAAACATTGTGTTAACTGTTTCGGAATTACAGCCTTTTTTATACATAGTCCCTCATTTTCAGAGGTTCAAAAGTAACCGGATACATTAACTTTATTTGAAATTGAACATTTTGTTAATCCTTTGCAGTTAGAGACTGCCTGAAGTCTGCCTGCATATCCACTGTGGTCATATACAGAGGCAAAATTACAAAAAAATGTATCAGTTTAAATATACTTATGGATCTAACTGTATTCAAATTACCATTAAAATGTTATATATGGAAATGTGTATATGTTTTATGTGTCTCTACTGAGAAATACAGGAAAGTAAAAAAAGAAACTCTATTTAAGGTCTTCAGGCCATCTTAAATTTACTATAACAATAAAGAAAGCGCCCGAAACTACAACATCATGTCAGAGTCAGGAAGGGACTCTCATGCATCATTCATACCAAATGACATAATTTCTCAGACCAAATGCTTTTGTTTTTATGTGAATTACCAAAAAAAAAAACCAAAAAAAAAAAAACCTACAACAACACAACTTCCTGGTGTGTTAAAATCCTTTAAATATACTGGTATAGTGCTGTGAAAAAAAATCGATCCCTTCCTCGTTTCTTTCTTTGCTTTTCTTCTCTTTTTTTCTTTTCTTTGCTTTTTTTCTGCATATTTTTTCCATGTTTTGATGCGTGCTCAATCATCCAGGTAAGAAAATCCCTCAAAAATCATTCTATTCATCTGGACATTGCGTTTTCAGTGGAAAAAACATTTTGTCGCTCATCCGAGTGACTTCTTCCGTATTTGTGGGATTTCAGTCATTATGCAAATGTACTGTTTATAAGGTTGGGTAAACCTGCAGTCACCTGAGACTGAAGAAGTCATAAGGCCAGACATTCTCCTTCAGAATTTTCTGCTAGAGAGCACAATTCATGGTTCCATCAATTACTACAAGTTGTCCAGATCCTGAAGCAGCAAAAACCTTCACACTACCACCACCACGTTTGTCTTTTGGTATGATGTTCTTTTTATGCTTTCAATCTGGTTCCCAAACATGTATAAATTGTTTTGTACCCAGTCCCAGGCTGATGATGTCAATTAAGACTTCGATTTTCATTCTTTATTTTCTTTAGATTGTGGCATGATGTGTTTTTGATATCTTTTAGCCTACTTCACTTTGTCAGGTTCACTTAAACATGTTTAGTGATTTGGCGGTAATTGGGTTAGTGAAACTGAACTCAGTGTTCCAGAGCAAATGGTTAATCACAGTTAATTCCAAAGTTAGTTTAACAAGAGGGAACTACTTTTTCACATAGAGCCATATAAGTTTAGATAGATTTTTTCCCTTAATAAATGAAATCATCATTTAAAAACTTAATTTTGTATTTACTCGGGTTATGTTTGTCTAATTTAAATAAAAAAAAACATATGTAATGATCTGAAACACATAAGTGTGGAAAATATGCAGAAATATGCAGAAAAGTAAGAATTCGGAAAGGACGCAAATACTTTTTCATAGCACTGTATGCTTGCAGTTGACATGGCTGGTGGTGACGTCAGATTCCTGACTTTCTACGTTGCCCCTCCTACCGTCAACAACTGGATTCCAGCTATGTGTATTTTCGTGAACTAGCACTGCTAACCTGCTTGTGATGATTCGCTGCCTACGTAGAAAAAACGAACTAAACCTTTATTTTTGTTCCTTTGAAAAAAAAACCCCACCCTCTCTGTCGACAGCTCGTGCCGATGTTCGGCCAATGCAAGCTAAAGGGCCGACGAGAGCGGAGACATCGACGTGCATACCGTCCTCTAGCCATCTCTGATTCCAGCTAACACAGCTACCACCTTACCGGGGGAGATAACGCTAGCTGGCTGGCTGACAGCTGGTTGGGTTAGCTGCGTGCCTTTCACTGTAGCAGAACTGAGATTTTTTTCGCAGAAACAATGACTCGTCTCTGACATTGGTGAGTATATTTGCAGACACTGCGTAGTAATATCATGTAATTGCCTTTTCGTTTGCCTCGGCGTTGCTTTGCGAGCTAGCTTGTTTGTAGCAGCAGCCGCTGCACAGAGCCACGCCTGGGCAATTTAAGTTGATACCTGCGGCTGGTGACATTACATATTATTTTTGTAGTATGAGTCAGATGTCTTAAAGTGTTTGGCTTTGTAGTACTTCAAGTAATTAGCTGTTTTTGGTCTACAGTGAGGACTGAGGCCCATTTGGTTGTAACATTGGAGTTAATCGGAGCCCATAACTAGCAAGGTGGATCTTTGCTGACTCTCCGTTGGTGCCATAGAAGATAAGCGAGGAAGTCAAAAGTCAGCTTGCCGATGCCCGCTGATTGTGATCCCGCAGAGTTGCCAATATGATGCCGGTAAGTGCACATGTAGCGTATCATTTAGCATTTAGGGGACTTCATGAACATGTAAGAGTGGGTCTTTTCCTAAATATGTTATTATAAAAACAGAAATATGGTTCACTAACCGTCCATACACACACGTTTCAAGTTCTAACCGACTGATATGAGTTTGTTTGCTTTTCCCACTGCTGCTTAGATAATCTCAAGGCAGATCAGCTCCTAGTCATAAAAGTCTTTTCTTTTTTTAAATGATCTACTATGGCTTTTATGATTTCACAGCAGTTTTTTCGTGAGAATAAAAGAGTGACGCAAACCTTATAAAGGATCCTAAATTATAAACACAATGTGATCAGTTTTTGAATTCTATCAGAATGTGACACATCTTATCAAGTGTTAGCAGGTAGATTTATAACGCTGTGTGTCTCAATAGGGCAGGTCAGATTAGTATGATTGACTATCTCTGTGATAATCGTACTGTAATTCATTCCTGTTACAAAAAATGCTCTTACACAATGGATGATGTATTTAAAGCTGTGGGTATAGTAGGTGTGCTAAGCCAACAAATATTTTCATTCTATTGTTTTTTTTTTTGTGTGTGTTTGTTTGTTTTTTACCTTGGTGTTATTGTTCAAGAAGCTCTGTGTTGCAAGGAAAAGAATACCTGACTGGCAACCCTATTGGAGTAGCGCATTGTTGGGACCTCTTTTGTTGTCTTTAGTGCTGAGAAGGCAGCGACTGTGGGAATCGAGAGTGGAACATGAACTCGTGCAAGGGATAAATTTACAGTCAGTTCAGTGAGATCTTGTCATTTAAAAAAAAAAAGGGGGGGGGGGGATTCACTCTTGGTATTATGTCTTTCCAAACGACTATTGGTTTGAAGTTGGCTGTAAATTTGTATAGTTCTTGATCACCATTCCAGAGACGCTTGTACATTTCCAGAAGTACCAAGTATAACAGAAGCAAGTCCATATTTGCGGCAGTTCTCAGGTTCAGTTACTACCATTGCCTCGGTGGACAGCTGTACCCTGTGGCACCAACAGGCTATCAGAGTCAGAGAGCCAGTCGAGCAGAGAGGCAGCGAGCCGCTTGGTTCTCGCGTGAATCCAGCAGCCAATGAGACGTTGGCAGATCTAGGTCTGTGTGGCTGCGTCGACTAATGCTCTGTTGTTAAGGGGAACTTTTGAGCCGAGTAGATTGTCAAGTGGCATTAATCTCAGGCGGTGGAACCAGGCAGAGCCTGACTTACAGGAAAAAGTAAACAATGCATATTATTGCTGCATTCACATTTTTGTAGATATACTTGTTTGAAATAATAAAACAATTATCATTAAAAAGTAAAAATATCAAGTTTAATTGGGTATGACTATATCAAAATTGATTTATTTAACAAGTTCCCTCCGTTTGGGACTGATAGATCTATTTTATTCATTTAAAAAAATACACTTTAAAAACGACTCTAAGTAAAAGGAAAATAATAATAATATTAGTGTGCATTATCACAGTTTCAAATAAAATTTAACAGTGAAGGCTTTTGCACTTCGTAAGTATTAGACATGTAAGAGCCATCTACATAAGTCTGTAAAAGCAAAGCCAGATAAAATTTGTTAAACCACATGAAACACTGGGTGAGTGCTGAAGTCCGACTAAAGGAACGTTTAAAAAAAAAAAAAAAAAAAAAATCTTGATAATTTTGTAATTTGCAGGAATCACGGTTACTCAGATGTTTCAGTTTGTTTCACATCATTTGTCTCGTCTTTCCTCCGCACGGTTGACGAGTGGTTTTTGGCAAGTTTGGGCAGCATGAGATGGACTGTTAGTCCAGAATGTCAGAGACAACTTTGACAGCCTCCTTGGGTTTAGCTGTGATTAAGCTGTGTGTTTGTGTCTGACCAGATTACCATACAGACTCATGACCAATACTTATCATAGTGTGTTGTTTACCACACATTTGGGCTTCTGCTGGGTTACAGTTACTTGTGTTTTTGGTTACAGCTGGAGTATGTAAGTAGTATTGTATTCCAGTGTCTTACATTTATGACATTTAAGGATTGTTTGAATGGTTCAAGTTTATAGACAAAAAACAGTAATGTGCTTAAACTTTTTTCCCTCCACTCAGGGCCCATCTTTAAGAATAAGTAAGTAACTGGATTTATGTGAGGAAATGTTTGATGTGTGCTGGAGATCAGGGCACTAAATGATGCCTTTTCCCTCTCAGAAGTTAAATGATCTCCAGATGGTGCCCACTGTAGCATAATGCATTGACTCCTTTGAGTCATGCACAGCCCAGTATAAGCATAATCTCTTTCTTGGCTCTGCATGATGGTGTTGACCTGCCTGCCAGTCACAGCTGTGGCCAAACTATTCTCATTAGCAGGGAGTTGTTGGTGCTGCAGCCACAGGCACATCCCAGGGACACTTTTCCAGTAAAATTACTACCCATCACTTTCCTCCATCCATACCCACCACCCTGTGACACTCTCTTGTTCCCTTGCTCTCTCCTTCTTTCGCTGGCTGTTTGTTTCACACAAGCTCTCTCTCTCTTCCCCCCTCCCTGCTCGAACTGCACATGCAGCTTGTGTTTTTTTCCTCTCAAGTCTCCTCTGCAGCACTTTTCTAATGCACGCGTCACTGTCGGGTTTAGAGGTCTGCTCGGGATGGCATAACATCTAAGTCTCGTGCCCGCAAAAGCGGCAGTGCCACAATGAAGAGATTTGTGACTATAGTGTTACGTGGCCTCGTTAGCCTTTCCAAGGAGAACCCCATCTGGGCAAAGGAACATCACCGGCCACCAAAGAGGGAGATCAAGAGGAAACGGAGGGCGGCCAAGAGAGCCAAGAGTATGGGCAGACGCAACTTAGTGAGGGTGGTTCGTATCCCCAGTGATCACTCAGCTGGATCAGAGTTTCTGTTTTGTTTTGGATATATCTAGTAGTTTCTAGATTTCTGTGTAGTTTAGTCTGCAGGTGCTGTGATTCGTTTAAATTTTCACCTCATATTGTCTGATTGATTAATTATGTGTTTTTAATCTTTAAAGGCTTGTTTTGGTATGCTGCCAAGGATATTCAGAATGCAGGCTTGTGGTGTTGTCATTTAAAAAAAAAAGAACTGCAGATTTTGATGGATCTTATAGTATTTTTCTCCTTTTAGTTTAATCTATAAGGGATATTAGAAGCTGTTGTATAACAAATACAAATAAGAATGCCTTAGTCTTCTTTATATTCAAGCTGTTGTTCTTTCTAGCAGCCTAGTAGCCTCAATATTTTTTTATTTTTTTTTTACTGTATTGTGTTGTATGTCATTATGCAGCTTGTAGCACCCCCTGCCACACTTTTAGAAAAGATTTTCTTTCTTTCTGCCATCCATCCATCTTAACCACTTACCCATTTGAGGTTTCATTCAGATTTAATTTCTTTCCCCCAGTAACGTTGTTGCATATGCAGTCCCAAAAAGGTCATCCATTAGCTCATATTAACACTGTAAGAAACAGCGCAGAGCCACAAAGGGATTTCCTGGTGTCTCGGCATTAGTTCTATGTTTTTACCATCCTTGTCTGAAAATGCAGGTTGTTGATTCTCATAGTCACTGAGTGGATCTCTAGGACAAGAGATCATATCGTTTAATTTTGGCTGCTGCAGAAAATGTCAGTGAATCATGCAGTTGCATCATTACAAAGGATGAGTCACTTTGTCTTGGAGAAACTCCTGGAGTAATTATCTGTAGGTAGGTTCAGTGACTAAAGCTAGATTATATATGACAATAGTGCTTGCTGGCAATTATTGTGAAATTGAAAATGCACCATGAAGCCATGTGTACACAAAGTATGTACACGGAACATTTCATCTTATACTTATTTGTAATTCAGCAAAGTCAAAGCCAGTCAGCAAAATCAGTGTTGAAAAATTTGTGATCTCTTCACTTTTCCAGTGATGTATTAGTTGTTTCACTTTAGAGGTTTTTTTTTTTTCCTCTTTTTCTACCTCTTTTTGACACTGAGGGCTTTAAATTGGCATTTTGAACCTTATTGCATGTAAATAAAAAGCCTTTTTGTCTAGAAGTCAGTCATAGCATAAACACTGAGCATGTTAGATGGCCCCATAACTGACAAGAAGAGATGGCTGCAGAATAAGGATGGAAATGTAAAAGCTTAACTTGCAGGGGCGAAATAAAAGACAGAGCGAGTGTCAAAAAATGTGTCTGAAATGAAAGAGAGGCGAATAGAGGTCCTCAGTGCATTATGGGAGGTCCCCTGTCAGCCTAGACCTCTAGCAATATAATTAAAATGTGGTTTAGTGCAACCTGAGCCAACCCCAGCCGTAATCATTTTAGTTTGTTTTTTTTTTTAATCAAGAATGAAAGATTAAAAAGGGCTGTTAAAAAAAGAAATAAAGTGGGAGGTGGAATGTGATAACTGAAGACTCTGCCTCCCATTGTACTCTTGGAAACTCTAGGAGTTACAACTAAGCCATAGTGTAGATTTTTCCTTTTTTTTTTTCTTTATCACACTTCAAAAGTTTCTAGGCATAGGCTGTCCCTGTTTTGGTGTTTTTTAAAGCAGTGAAACATGTATAAAAATTGCCGAAGTGGGACGGCTTGGAAGCAAATGCTTTTCTTCTTTGTTTACTGAGAAAGAGTTGAAATTGAGTCTAGCATGCACCAAGCAATCCTTTCAAACACGTTTACGTCATTTTGAGCATCCCTGCAAAACATTCTTTGTTACAGAAGTTTTTCTTTGGGTTGTTTTTGTTCGCTAAACTCCTCTCAGTGTCGCTTTTCTGTTACATGCCACAGAAGGCGAGGGGCGAGTGAGGCCTGTCACATGAAACAGGAAGGCACTCCTCAACACTCGAGAGTGCTTTGTCCCACAGGAAACAGTGGAAATCTGCCTGACGCTTCAGGAGGGGGGAAAAAAACCCATATTGTGGTGATGTGCAGTAGCGATGAATATAGAGGAGATTGCCATAATCAGTGCAGACATGTGTCACCTCCCGCAGGGCAAAAAAAGTCTTTTGGTTTAAACAAGGTATATAAATGTTTTTGTCAAGTAAAATATTCAAACCTATTGCGCCTCTTATCCTGCTGTTAGTTTTATTCTACATAGATATTGAATAATCTGATTATAGGATCCAAAACCTGCTTGCCTAGAAACATTTTGTCAATTTATGGAAGAAAAAAATGTTGCCCATAGTTAGCAACCTAAATTCATAGATTAACGTGCCCTACAAATGTATTTAACCCGGTGATTCAGTACTTTGCAGTGACCGAATCGTCTTAGAAATGATTTAACATCTTAGACGATCTGGATTTTGGGATTTATTTATTTATGCATTGGCTGCTTTCCATGCCCTTATCCTTGAGGGGTAGCACTGAGTGTTTGTGTGACTGTGACCATGGCTTTTTTTTTTCTGAATAAATGGATTGTCTGTTGATTTGCATGAGGGGAAAATAACTAAATCTTAACTACAAGAAAGTCCAAAGGGGGTGATCGTATACCTGTGAATGGGTTATGATTTAGGTAGACTGTGTGAAGCCAGATCAGATTAAAAAAAATATAAAAAAAATCACTGCCCAAGATATATTTTCTTATTATTTTCATGCTTTCGTGTAGTAATAAAACGAAAAGTAATATGACATGTCTTTTTTTTTTTAAACAAGCAACAACAACATATTAAGTTTACTGTGTAAATGTGAAACTTAAATGACTAGTTGAATACTCAACTGCTGAGCTGCTCAGTTTCATTCTTAATAGCTTAGTCAAAAGGTGACATGCACATTGCAGACATTGTGATGTCTGATTAATGCAGGAGAACTTGAAGCAGCTTGAAGTTTACTCATAGCTCATTATAAAGCGTAAAGATGATAAATCGGCTATGTTTTGTTTCTCATTCAGTCTTTTCAGATTTAGAGTTTTTTAACCAGTCCTTTAGATTTAAGAGTTTGGGCTATCATTTAGATCATACACCCATCAAGTCGATATGATTTAACTGCTGGTTGTTCAAAAACTGGTGGAAGCTGAGAGCCGACACAGACATGTGAAGGCATGTATTGATATGTTTTACCTTTCAGCTCATACTTTATGTGTTCAGTGCTATGTCAGACACTAATCATAGTAAACAGAAATTTGGCAGGCACAGACACGAGTCCAATGCTAGCTCCAACTCACAGTCTGGGCTGGTCAACAAGGAAATGTAGTGTCAGCAGAGCAGGCTTTGTAGCAATAGAGAGCGTAAAGATTCATCCATAAACACTCCATTGTTTTTATTGTAATCTGTGTCATTCATATTTCACTGTTGAGCACTTGTATTCAGTTTTCCCCTCACTGCCTTCCTTCTCCTTTCAGATGATATTGACGGTGTACCTCAGCGACGGGGAGCAGGCCGTGACTGAGGTGCCCATCACCCCTGAAACAACGTGCCACGATGTCGTCGAGTTCTGTAAAGAGCCCGGCGAGAGCGGCTGCCATCTGGCCGAGGTGTGGAGAGGCAACGGTAAGACCCATTTGAAGCTTTCTCACGGACCTGCTGAAGTGCTTAATATTCAGAACAGGGAGCGCTGCCTTTCTTATAGGAAGCAGCATCCAGTTGGCTGCCACGTTAAAGAGAAAGAACAGCGGTTGTCTCTTGTAAATGCCTGAAGGTGAAGTAATCTGAAACCCCATTATTGCTGAGCCAGACACTTCATTTGCATGCACAAGAATTTCATTTTCTCAAACAGTAGCCTTTAGCTTTCTTTATTAATGTAAAAACAAGCACTTTAAAAAAAAACGAGTTGAGGGGCTGAATGAGGCCGTGCATGCTTACCTGAATGGAATAAAATAATTCACATAGCAAATTTTAATATGAGAAAAAGGGTTATGTGCCAGTGTACTTCACGCCCCTGTCACAACAGATTCCACTCGGTCCCATCACCATCGCTGTGCTGACACACCCTTTGTTATCAGCGGTTTTTAAAGGCCTACTGCTCAGTTGAAAACAGCATTCCAGTAAAACGCTTTATTGACCTCACGTTATGCAGTCATGTGAGGCCTGACAATGCAACTGGCTGCCCCAAAACCCTCCTAAAACCTCTCTACCTACTGTCTCGGTCTCAATCTTTTTCAGTTCTGCATACACATTATGCTGTAAATATTCATCTCTATCAGTGGACTCTTCCTCGGGGTATCATCATTTTAATTCTGAGATTGTCTGTATGGCTACGATGTAAACAGAAATAGCATAAAGTGAATTATTCACACACATAATCCCTGCAAATGTATGGAAGGTGGCATCACACTCAGAGACAAGCAGTTTGATGCCCTGCGTGATTAAGAAGCCCAACTAAAAATGAGGAGTCTGGGAGAAAGAAAATCTTTGAAGTAGGAGAGACTAGAAAGGGGTTTTTTTTTTTTTCAATTGCTGTGGTGTTTTTTTTTTTTTTTTTTTTTTTAATTTGTGCTTCAAGAAATAATTTCACAACTTGGAAAAAATGCTTTTTTTCCCTGAATTTAAAAGTGTGTTAATGTGTAAAGTAATACTTAGTTTGGGAAAGTGAGAAACGGCATACATATCCAAGAAATTATTTACCACATACCCTGCAAGTAAAATATCCAGTGAGCAGCAGTTGTCTGGATGAAAGTGCCTCGTTGATGCCACAGGTCAAAGCAGAATGGCCAGACTGCTTTGAGCTGATAGGAAGGCATATCGATATGGAGCAAAAACTGTGAGGCATGTTTCCCGCACCTTGTTGAATCTGAGCCTTGAACATTTAAGGCAGCTCTGAAGACAAAAGAGGGTCCAACCCAGTACTAGCAGAGTGTAACTAATGATGTGCCGACTGACTGTATAACAAGTTAATCACTGAGCTTTAGAGTTAAGTGTTTTTTGTTCATTTAAGTACCAGGCTAGCTGAAAATCAGTGTACCTATTGTAAATGACTGAACCTGGTCGACCTTTCCTTAACTTTTCAGAGCGAGCAATCCCCTTTGAGCACATGATGTATGAACACATGCAGAAATGGGGACCTCGGAAGCAAGAAGTCAAATTCTTCCTCCGGCACGAAGATTCACCAACTGAGAGCAGCGATCAAGGTGTGTGCTGTCTGCTGCTTTCTCTGCTCTGTGTGCTTGTTTTTTCACACAGAAGGCTGAACAGTAGAGGGTGGAGTCGATAGCTGTCGGGAAATTCTTGGCATCTGTTCTGCCTTCCTTGTAATGAAGACTGGTGTCACTTGGTGTTTTTTCTTTCTGTTTTCTTCTGCCACGTCTAGTCTAGCCAAGCCAAGCCGTTTGCAGACTTTACACATCAAAAAAGCCCAGATTTCTCTCTGTTTTTGTTTTCTCCTTTTTTGGAGCTTTGTAAATATTAGTTTAGCCTTTCTTAAAATAGGTGACGTGTCGTTATGTTCTTAAAAGCTTTGTAGAATTAAAAAAGCAAAGGTTGTTCAGAGGGGAATATCAATGGAATAACTGGTTTGCCAGCTATCCCACGCACATTAATTACATTGTCTTTCTGTCTGGATAGAGCAGAGCCACATAAACAGCTATGTGTAACATCCACTCTTAAGTATTATCAGCCTGAGTCTGTAATGTTTTAACTACAAGTTACCTGGTGGTCTTCCCGATCATGTTTACATTGGCTATAAACTACCAAATAAAAGCTGAGGTCATTCTTTCCTGTTTTGTTTTTTTTGTTTTGTTTTTTTTTAAATTACAGAAAAGAGGGCAGTTTTCTGTCCTCTGCTGTGAATTTTTATACATTTATTAAAAGTATGAGGTAGGTGGCTTTAGTTAGCAGTGCTTGTCCCAGTTCTTAAAGCCCCCTGTCATGTGCAATCATACCAGTGAACTTTAAGACGATTTCAGACAATGGTGGTTGTCTCTGAATCTTCACTTGCGTGCGGTACCTTCGTCTTTGCACTCCTGCACTCTTGAGTGTCGCACTAGTACACTGCATGTCTGTATTGGGTTTTTCGGATTTTATTTATTTATGGTGACTGCTTCTTTTTTTTTTTTTTTTTTCCCCCCCCCCCTTTTTATTTCAGGGAGTCAGCAGTCTCAGGAGCAAATGAGTCGCAGAAGTGGAAATACTGGAGACAAGCACAATGAGAATGGGGTGAGAATTAATGTTGAAATATCTGTCTCTGTGTAGTGTTCTTTAACATTTTCCCTATAGTTCACAGTACAAGATAGAAGTATAAAACACACTAGAAATGAAACGGGAGTACATGTGTCTTTGTTTTGGGGGTTTTGGTCATGCTTCACCGTAATAATATGATTTTTAACTCCAAACTCAGAGGATCATCTCTGCTCTGGTGTGGCAGGGCTGTTCCTTTTCCACACACTGTTGGCGTTTTCCTGTCAGGTGTACCCATTGATGTACTCTTTGGCTTAAGGATGTGTGTACTAAGAGATGTGAATGACTTCGATAAGAGCAGCCTCTGGGAACAGCTTTCTCTCTCTGACCATCTGTCCCAGATTTCTCAACAAGAAAGTGTTGCGGTCAAGAAATTGTAACTAATTCAACCTTCAGGGTTGAAAGAAGGCTTTGTTTATTTTGTTTTCAAGAGCATAAAAGCACCCAGAAGCTATCCTCTGTATATTCTCCTAGAAAATGTGCAATTTTTAACTTTGTTTTTGTTGAGAAGATCTGTTTTGTCATCCATAGACTACATGTACATAGCCCATTGTACTTAAAAATAAATTCTACAGTGAAATATCATTTCTCAGATTTAATTTGAGGTTTTTTGTCAGTATTAAAAGAACCGTGTGAGGTATAGTCCTTTTTACAGAACCAGTATTCAAGTATTTAAAAGTAACTGGACACTGGGTGACTAAATGTTTCCTGCATGTTGTTTTATGCACAAAAGGCCGGCTTTTTTTTTCTTAGATGTGTTTCCAGTTAGACCTAGATGGGTTTGAATGGATGTCAGTATGTGTAAAGAAGCAGATAAATCAAAGTGATTTGATTAGCCAGAATTAATGGTGAATTAATTACAGTCAAGAATGCACCAAGATGGAGTAATATCATGACAGAAGCTGAGAGGATTCGTCTTAAGATAGAAACCCTGGGTGAGCCTTAAATAATAGTAAGGCGGGTACAGTTTTCAAAAAAGCATTAAAAAAAAAAAGCTTCTTTGAAAATGATGGATAGAAGAAAGGAACAACTCGAGCTCTGAAGCATCACCTCATCTGTCAAACATGGCGGTGTTGCTTCTGTTGTGATGAGGCTGCTAATGAAAGTGGCATGGTGGCGTTTATTGATAGTTTCCCTGCTGATAGAGGGAACAGGGCGAATGCAGATGTGTACAGAAGCTTTCAGATTATCTCTTTGGACAAAATGTAAACATTCAGCAGGTAAATTAAAATCTTCAAACAGCCCAAACATCTGAGTAATGAAGGACCTTTCATGGTCACGAGGTGAAGGGGGTGTTTGTGGATGGTTGCAGATATTATTTTTAAAATTTTGAGCACTCTGTGTTTAAAAGGCGTGTATTTCCTCCACAGCTCTTTGTATAATAAATAAACCTAAACTTGGCGCTTTAATCTACTGTGCTTTATTTTATTTCACGAGTAATGTGCTTAAGGAGAGAGCCTCAGAAATAAACAGTGTAATGCTTTAGAGTGTAGATATAGAAATTGACTATTGATCGGCACCAAATGACACACTCTGTATCATTAGTGTCACTACTGACCGAAAGAGACACTGAATGGCTCCTCCCATTCAAAGTACTGAGACTAACTTGTGTCCAAGTTTCTTCTTAATATCTGATTTAGAGGATTATATTAGTCGGCCCTCTGGATGATATAATGGTTGTTAAGAGGATCAGTGCTTTAGCTTTTCCACTTGCTGCTGCCCAAACCCCAGAGGCTTTCAGTCAGCCCAGCAGAGCTGATCATCATCATCATCTTAAAGAACAGCAATCCCTGTAGGGAATACTACGATTACAATTCATTTTTTTTATATCACCATTTTAGCTGCCATAAATGATAATTACAGCTCATTGGCACTACCCAGAAATGTAATTGAATTAGTCAAGACTAGTAAAATTACTAATAATTTCAGTGATTTTATTTTTTTCTCCCAGGCAACAATATCAAACTGCCTGTGACGCCAGTTTCTCGGTTGCTGTTTTTCCTTTGAAATCTCTTATAATTAATAGCTTAGGATTTGTAGGTTGTAGCTCAGGAGGCAGAGTGGGTCTAAGAGAGAGAGCCTTATCCCCGGGTGGTGTCCCGTTGCTGTTGGCTGTTAAACATATTGTTCTTATTTTATTAACAGACTAGTATTTCTGGGATCGACTAGCAAGGACAGCAATGTTTAAACGTCCAGACAACTAGTCGCACACATCCCCAGGAATTACTCCAGTGTTACCCTGATAAGACTTTACATTTGCAAGCAATTACAGTCGTTGTGGGCAAATGTATACAATTTGCAGATGGGTTTATGAAATCCTGCAGAACGGCATCCCTCATCAGCGTGCACTTGGCTGCTTTCGTCCCCTCTTCCTGCCGTCTGCTCAGTTGGGCGTTTCTCTCTCTTCGCCACACAAGAGAGTCGATTTCTCCCTCAGAGGAACTGTCACTGATGCAGTGTTGCTTGAGTGCATTTGAGCATGGCCGTGTTCATGTGCCAGTGGCTTTCCCCACTCTGCCCATCTCTATCTCGATTGAGTCATCATGCTGCCCTTCCAGCCTTTATGAGGCTTTCTAGACATCCTTATAACTAAAAGTCTTAACAAATGCCAAGGAGTAAAAGATTGTCTATGTGGGTGCACTACTGTTGCATTCTTTGAGTAAAGTAAAAGTTGAATTTACTCCCAGCAAGACGCATGTTTTTTCACGTCTCCTCTAACCAAACAGAGCAGTAGTTACAGGTATTGTTGTTGGTATTATTGTCCTCCCCACTACTTTAAATATGTGTTGGATCCAGCATCCATGCACTTGACACACGATATGCCTCTTACTAAGCTCTACTCGAGCCAGGATTCTACATTTTTCAGTCTGTTGTTGAAGGAAAAAAGGCACCATGACATTTCCTGCATCGTCTCCTCCCTCTCAGTGCTCTTTCCAAAGGCAAAGGCTGGGAGCATTTCAATATCGCTTGTAGTTTGGTGGAGCGTGTTCGCTCAGTATTCTGTTTAAAGGTAGTCGTCAGTGTTTTGAATCTAGAAATCAAAAACTCTGTAGGGAAAAGCCAGCCTGCCTTTATTCTGTGAGCTCTTGAAGAACACATGGGTGCCGAAATTTCAACTTCATGAAAACTCTTCTTGGAGGTGAAACCTTTTTTCTTTTCTTTTTTTTTACCTCTCATTTAAATTTCTGTTCAGGCTCTCCGTCAGTAGTCGACAGTTTGCTGCATGGATCTGTGTCTCGGGTTTGGCTGCAGTAGCGTTTGGTTGTGCAGGGCTCTCTTCCACTTATCTTTTACAGCTGTAACACTTGGTTGAATAGCGAGCTATGATTTGTTACTTTTATATTTAAAAAAAAAAAAAAAACTTAACACACACATTGCTCTTTTGCATCTTATGTGACGGCGATTGTTTGAGAGTGACAAACACTGACAACAAACATGAGCAATAAGAAAACAACACAAACACACAAGTGAATTGCAGACTTCAGCTCATTCGATTGTGCTATGCATGTAAAATGTAATGGAAAGACACAGGCTGATCAGTCATTAAAAATGATCAATAGTACTGGCTTGTGTCGCCGCTCATTACAAAGCTTTGGGCTGACAGCTGACTCGAAGTTTCAAGAAGGTTTTCAGCTCTGAGCTTACAGACTTGTGGTGGTAGTAAACAGAAGTCTGAGTTACTAAACAGAGGGCAAAGTTGTATGTATTTATTTATTTGTTAAGGAATTTGATTATTAACTATTGGACACTAAGTTAGAGCAGTTTCAAATTTATAAACATACACATCTAAAGGAAAGTAAACGACTGAGATCTACAGTTTTGCCTCCGGCTGAAAAGAGTAGGGCAAACACAGTTAACTGATGTTCTTCATTCATATTCATCTTAAATATAAATTTAACATTTCCAAATTTGCCACTGCTAAACTGAACTTGTGCTTTGTGGGAATTAAAATGATAAAAATGATTTTTAAAAAAAAGATGGGTAAACATATTGGGGGATGCGAGGGGTACGTGAGGCATTGTGGTCTCTAATCTTTTCGTTTTTTTGACACATTGTAAGGATCTGCAATGACGCTGATTGGATTTCACTTTTTCCCTTAGAGCTTCAGTTTCGTACACTTCATTTTCTTTTAAACTTTGTAATGCAATGAAGTAGCAAAGAATGAAGTTGTTTGTTTGTCTGCCAAACAATTCATTGTGCAGTGATGCCACAGTGACGTCAGTTACCGAGCTCTGTTTAACGATGAACATGATCAGTGTATTAATATAACAGCAAAATAAGAGCTTGTGCACATTTACAGTCCACCTAGTCATCAAAGAGTAAAGCTCTCCAGTGTTACTGGCCATCAACAACAGGTTATTTTATGTATGGAAACACAGCTTCCTCTAGCTAAACCTCTGGAACTCTTTGTTCTGGACAACCAGAGCTAAATGTAATAAACTGATTCATGTTTTTGTTTTGCTGTAACAAAACCGACTTCTGGTAATTTTGTGTGCTTGAGTAACGTGGCAGCCTCGTGTCTGGTCACAGCTCCACTCTTTTACTCCAGTAATGCCTTCATACGATACGAAGCTTATGCTGTGTGTATAAACACCAAATGACATGTTGCCCCTCAGAGGCTCGGGCCTACTGCCCACTAACTGATTCTCCATCATAATTAAGGTCCCATAATGATGCTGTTTTGGAGAAAGAGTCCCCAGCTCTCAGTACTGTGCAGTCTACTGCAGTTTTACCCTCTGGCTACTGAATCCAGACATCTTTTAAAATCATTTCTGCAAATGGCTTCTTTTTTTTCTCTTTCTCTTCGTAACCTATTTCTCTGTGCTTAGTTTTTCAGCTTCTTTTTCTTATATAATATTTTTGGCTTATGTAATGTTGCAGGCCCGTATTATTCTGCATTTATTGACTTGAACTTTGTGTTATCATAGCAGAGTGCTATCAAACATTTACCTGAATATTGGTGTAAAAAAGCACAAAGGTATTTCTTAGAGATGTTGAACAACTCTGCTGTTAAATGTTAATGTTTTGGCTGAGAGTCGAGAATAATGTAATGTAATTTTGAGTCTGAATCAGTCACCTTTTAGTACAGGAATTATAAGTCATATTTTTCTTGTCAAATTAGCCTTTTTTCCTGATTTAAAATATTGTCATATGTGAGTTTTTATAAGGGAAAACCTTCATTAAACTCATTATTAATCATCAGTCTCAGTGGTTCAACATCAAGAGTAGTTGGGAAGATTTCAGTGTATTGACCAGTTCCTGTGTTGGTGTGTAGGTGGGCAGCCAGCGTGTGGAGCTCACGCTGTCGGAGCTGCAGGAGATGGCCACACGGCAGCAGCAGCAAATCGAGGCTCAGCAGCAGATGCTCGTTGCAAAGGTATCAGCAGCTTCATTCTCTTACCACGAATCCTTCCTCCAAATACAGTCATGGTCTTTTATGCAAAGTTTGTTTTATGCTAACAAAATGTGTTAATTGGAAGCACAAGTGAGTCCATGTTTCTCGTCTTTTTGCAGTTCATATTATGTTTGTGTTTCGGTAAAGTCGGTAAATGTTCTTATGCTGGGATGTGTTACTGAAAAATTGTTGCAGTAACTTAACTGAGTAATATAGCAGACCTGACAAATCATAGCCTTGGCCAGGGTTTGGCCTGATGGTGTGTCATTTAGTCCGATGCCACAGACGCAGCCTGGGCATTAGTTCAATCAAGTTCAGGACACAAAGCAGCCTTGGACCGCTCTGTCGGAGAGAAAGTGGAATGTTGTTGCACTCGTCTCATCCAAAGAGTCTGTCGTGACCTGAAATGGGGGCAAACCATTATGTAACGAATGAGATTGGATGCAGTGTGAGTCACGGTGCCAGGATTGTCCAGTCGGTCAGAAATGATACTCAAGTCTTTGCAGGAATTAGCGCTATTCACTAACCAGCTGCAGCTCCACATCATCAGGATTTTATCTGGAGTTGTGAAAAGCATCCTTGTGAATAATTATCAATAAAGACCTGCTTGACTTTCAGACAAGCAGGTCAAGTGCTTAGCTGAAAGTCCGTAGGGTGGAGTCAAGTTATTAGCTAATGCAAGAAAGCTTGGATAGTAAGCTGTAACCATACATTATATGGGTGCATCACACAGAGGCAGTTAGCTAGGCCTGTAATTAACCACAATGCGAGCCATATAATGTTGTGACATTGTCATTAAAAAGATACCAGTATAACAAACACAAGTTAAGAGGCCCATGTCAGTACCCGTTTGTGAGGTGTTGGTAATTTGGCATTTATTTTATAGTCCAGCTATTTGACAAATTACAGTACTGTGCAAGTCTCAAGTTGCCCATTATTTCTTAATATTTATAATTAGAAAGTGGTCTTGCACATTAGTGTTCTAGGCTTTCTGAAGGGCTTTCAATGTTTTGTCCATTCCTGTACCTGACCATTTTCACAATGTTTGTTTTGTTTGAACCACTTAACACCAACTTGTGAATCATTTAAACATAAAAAGCCACCTACAGTGGGGCAAAAAAGTATTTAGTCAGCCACCGATTGTGCAAGTTCCCCCACTTAAAATGATGACAGAGGTCAGTAATTTGCACCAGAGGTACACTTCAACTGTGAGAGACAGAATGTGAAAAAAAAATCCATGAATCCACATGGTAGGATTTGTAAAGAATTTATTTGTAAATCAGGGTGGAATATAAGTATTTGGTCACTTCAAACAAGGAAAATCTCTGGCTCTCACAGACCTGTAACGTCTTCTGTAAGAAGCTTTTCTGTCCCCCACTCGTTACCTGTATGAATGGCACCTGTTTGAACTCATCATCTGTATAAAAGACACCTGTCCACAGCCTCAAACAGTCAGACTCCAAACTCCGCCATGGCCAAGACCAAAGAGCTTTCGAAGGACACCAGGAAAAGTATTGTAGACCTGCACCAGACTGGGAAGAGTGAATCTACAATAGGCAAGCAGCTTGGTGTGAAAAAATCAACTGTGGGAGCAATCATCAGAAAATGGAAGACATACAAGACCACTGATAATCTCCCTCGATCTGGGGCTCTCGATCTCATCCCGTGGGGTCAAAATGATCATGAGAACGGTGAGCAAAGATCCCAGAACCACACGGGGGGACCTGGTGAATGACCTGCAGAGAGCTGAGACCAAAGTAACAAAGGTCACCATCAGTAACACACTACAATGGCAGGGAATCAAATCCCGCAGTGCCAGACGTGTTCCGCTGCTGAAGCCAGTGCATGTCCAGGCCCGTCTGAAGTTTGCCAGAGAGCACATGGATGATACAGCAGAGGATTGGGAGAATGTCATGTGGTCAGATGAAACCAAAGTAGTTTATAAGATGGCGCCGGTGAGGTCGGCTGCCGTCACGACTGCTCCGACCACTTTTTCTTTGTCTTTGTTTTTTAAGTTAGTTTTCAGCGTTTCTAAATCGGCAAAATCATCACCATTGGGTACATTAGGTATGACAGTGACACTCTTGTTTCTATTGGTATACAATGTACTCACAATTCGAAGTTTTTAACTCCGGATCCGAGCTGGCCGAGTGAGATCTCGAGGGAGAACAAAGGGAAGCGGCGGCGGCCTAGAGGGAAGCGAGCCGGCGTCAGGAACAGGCTGAGAGCTCGTGCACACCGCACACCTCTGCCTAGCATCCTGCTCGCCAACGTCCAGTCACTGGAGAACAAGCTTGACGACCTCAGGGCCAGGATAAAGTTCCAGAGAGACATTCGGGACTGCAATCTCCTCTGCTTCACCGAGACATGGCTGAACCCAGCGGTGCCGGACCACGCCATCCAGCCGGCCGAGTTCTTCTCGGTTCACCGCATGGACAGGACACGGGACTCGGGGAAGTCAAGGGGAGGCGGCGTGTGTTTAATGGTGAACAACAACTGGTGCAACAGTGCGAACGTTGTTCCTCTCACACGCTCCTGCACACCAAATCTGGAACTACTGTCCATCATGTGTCGTCCTTTTTATCTACCTCGGGAATTTACATTGGTCATTGTAAGTGCCGTTTATATTCCACCACAAGCGGACACGGTCACCGCCTTATGCGAGCTGCATGAGGCACTCACACAGCACCAGACACAACACCGGGACGCTGCGCTTATTGTGACGGGGGACTTTAATAGCGCCAACCTCAAACGCGCAGCGCCGAACTTTTATCAACACATCACCTGCCCCACCAGGGGTGAAAGGACACTGGACCACTGCTACACTACGGTCAAGGACGGCTACAAGGCACAATCCCGCCCCCCGTTTGGCAAATCTGATCACGCCGCCATCTTCCTCATGCCAAAATACAAACAAAGGCTGAAACAGGAAGTTCCGGTTCAGAGGAAGGTCGCGCGCTGGACGGATCAATCGGTGGCCGCGTTGCACTCGATGACGCAGACTGGGGCATGTTCAGAAACAGCTCCGACGATGACGTCAACGTGTTTACGGAAGCGGTTGTGGGATTCATCGGGAAACTAGCGGATGATACCGTGGAGACAAAGACTATCACAATGTTTCCCAACCAGAAGCCGTGGGTGGATAAAACCATCCGCGACGCTCTGAGATCCCGCACCGCTGCCTACAACACGGGACTCATGACGGGGGACATGGACCCGTACAAAGCCGCGTCATATAACGTGCGGAGGGCGGTGAAAGAGGCGAAGCAGCGCTACGGGAGGAAACTAGAGTCACAACTCCAACAGAGTGACTCTAGGAGCCTGTGGCGGGGACTAAGGACAATAACGGACTATAAAGCACCAACAACCGGTATGACGAACGCGGCCGTGACTCTGGCAGACGAGCTGAACACTTTCTATGCTCGCTTCGAGGCTGCAGCTAAGGTCTCCAACAATGCTAGTGTTAGTGGCGCTAACGGCTGCAGACAGGAAGATACTGCCAGCACCGGAAACGTGCTCGTCATCTCCGAGCATGAAGTAAGGAGAGCCTTCAAGAGAGTGAACACCAGGAAAGCAGCAGGACCAGACGGCATCCCAGGTCGTATCCTAAGAGACTGCGCATACCAGCTAGCTCCTGTGTTCACTGAGATATTCAACATCTCTTTATCTCAGTCGGTGATCCCCCACATGCTTCAAAGAGTCCATCATTGTTCCTGTCCCGAAGAAACCCCACCCTGCTTCTCTCAATGACTATCGCCTTGTAGCCCTCACCTCAGTAGTGATGAAGTGCTTTGAACGCCTGGTCAGAGACTTCATCATTTCTTCACTACCAGACACACTGGACCCACTACAGTTCGCTTACCGTCCAAATCGTTCCACAGACGATGCCATCTCTCATCTCCTCCACACATCACTCACTCACTTGGACACTAGAAGGGGGAATTATGTTAAAATGCTCTTCATAGACTACAGCTCTGCATTTAACACCATAATTCCCTCCACACTCACCACCAAGCTGGAGCATCTGGGACTCAGCTCATCTATGTGTCTGTGGATCTCCAACTTCCTAACTGGCAGACCACAGGCAGTAAGGATGGGCGGACATGTCTCAGCCTCCACCACTCTCAGCACTGGAGCCCCCCAGGGGTGTGTTCTGAGCCCCCTGCTGTACTCTTTGTACACATATGACTGTGTGGCCACTACCAGCTCCACCACCATCATCAAGTTTGCTGACGACACCGTCGTGGTGGGCCTGATCTCTGATAACAACGAGACAGCCTACCTGAAGGAGATTAGGAATCTGGAGAACTGGTGCCAGAGGAACAACCTCCTTCTAAACGTCAGTAAGACAAAGGAGCTGATAGTGGACTTCAGCACTAAGCAGGAGAGGAACTACCAGACCCCCGTCATCAACGAGTGCCCAGTGGAGAGAGTGGACAGCTTCAAATACCTCGGAGTTCACATCACGCAGAACCTGTCATGGTCCTGTCACATCAACACCGTGGTGAAAAAGGCCCGTCAGCGTCTCTACCACCTCAGACGCTTGAGAGACTTCCAACTGCCCTCCAAGGTGCTCAGGAACTTTTACTCCTGCACCATAGAGAGCATCCTGACGGGAAACATCTTAACCTGGTTCGGGAACAGCACCATGCAGGACAGACGAGCTCTACAGAGGGTTGTGCGGTCAGCTGAGCGCACCATCCGCTCCGAGCTCCCTGACCTGCACTCAATCTACAGCAGGCGGTGCCGGACCAAGGCCAGGAAGATCGTGAAGGACCTCAGCCATCCCAACAACAGACTGTTCTCTCTGTTGAGGTCAGGAAAGCGATTCCGCTCCCTGAAGACCAACACAGAGAGACTGAGGAGGAGCTTCTTCCCGCAGGCGATACGGTCTCTCAATCACACCACCACACAGTACTGACCCACACATATGGTTCTTACACACACACTGGACTTTCTGGACTTTGTTTTTGCACAACACTGGTCACTATATTCTTCATTTCCGGTTAATACTTGTACAGCTGCTGTTATTGTGTATATATTTATTTATATTTAGATTTCTTCATACATTCTTATATAGTTCTATATTGTGTATTGTGTATTTTGTTGTACAGTTATTTTATTTTCAACTTTAATTTATATATTTTATCTTATTCTTCCCAGTTAAATTTACCCTTCATTCTAATTTGTGTTGTACAGTTATTTCATTTTTAACCTTAATTTATATTTTATTCCTTCCTAGTTAAATTTACCCTTTTTAATTTTTCATATTTATTTCCTATCTTATTCATAGCCTTTTCCTTTTTGTTTTCTTTAGGTCACGAGCAGTTGTCCAAGCATTTCACTACATATCGTACAAATAAAATTTGAATTTGAATTTGAATTTGAACTTTTTGGTATAAACTCAACTCGTCGTGTTTGGAGGAAGAAGAATACTGAGTTGCATCCCAAGAACACCATATCTACTGTGAAGCATGGGAATGGAAACATCATGCTATGGGGCTGTATTTCTGGCAAGGGGACAGGACGACTGATCCGTGTTAAGGACAGAATGAATGGGGCCATGTATCGTGAGATTTTGAGCCAAAACCTCCTTCCGTCAGTGAGAACTTTGAAGATGAAACGAGGCTGGGTCTTCCAACATGACAATGATCCAAAACACATCGCCCGGGCAACAAAGGAGTGGCTCCGTAAGAAGCATTTGAAAGTCCTGGAGTGGCCTAGCCAGTCTCCAGACCTCAACCCCATAGAAAATCTGTAGCGGGAGTTGAAAGTCCGTGTTGCTCGGCGACAGCCCCAAAACATCACTGCTCTCGAGAAGATCTGCATGGAAGAATGGGCCAAAATACCAGCTACTGTGTGTGCAAACCTGGTAAAGACCTATAGTAAACGTTTGACCTCTGTTATTGCCAACAAAGGTTATGTTACAAAGTATTGAGTTGTATTTTTGTTATTGACCAAATACTTATTTTCCACCCTGATTTACGAATAAATTCTTTACAAATCCTACCATGTGAATTCATGGATTTTTTTTTTTCACATTCTGTCTCTCACAGTTGAAGTGTACCTCTGGTGCAAATTACTGACCTCTGTCATCATTTTAGGTGGGGGAACTTGCACAATCGGTGGCTGACTAAATACTTTTTTGCCCCACTGTAGTTCAAGGGATGAGCCAGGGCTGACAACTTAGGAAAGAACCAATTTTAAATTGTATCTTTAGGCACTCGGTTACTAACAGCCTACAAAAACAAATTTGCTCCAGTTTCTTTAGGTAAATCCATCAAAAATGCCAAATATTACACAATTTGACATGATAAAAAAGCACTTTTGCAGAAACATGATTCCCAAAGAACTATTAGAAGAAAATTTTATATATCCTGTTCAGTGTCCAGTGTGCTTTCTTTGAAGAAACTGGACAAGTGGAGGACAAAGGAAGTGGCAGGCCTAAAACACGATCTACATGCAGATGAACAGTACTGCATCAAGTCATGCTTGATGAGGAAAAGAATCCAGCAAAGACCTGGCACAAGACCCGAGAAATGCAACTGGATCCTCGGTTTATCAATCATGATTCACTGAAGCCTAATCAGAAATGGTCTTAGTTCACAGTGCTTTCAGTCCATAGTGCTGTGCTTGGTGGCCTTCAAGAAGCCACTGTTAAGGAAGGAAAAGAGAAATTGCCAAATTACAAAAAAAAAACAGGACTGAAAGTGAGAGGCAACGGGTCTTATGGAATGATGAATCCAAATTTTAATTTGTCATTATTTCATTTAATTTTCCATGGATTGGTCTCCCAGGACCTCAACATTATTGAAGCAGTGTGGGACAGAACAGAACAAAAGGCAGCCAACATCCAACGAAGAGGTTCTAATGTTCCTCAACAAGCCTGGAGAACTATTTCTAAGGATTATTTAAAAGAAAATTGGCTAATCAATGCCAAGTATCTGCGTCTGTGCATCTATGCTAATGAACAAAGCACTATAGAGTCACTTTATACTCCAAAAGCAGTGTGCTTCTAAAAATGCTGCTAAAAATCAAGGCTTTGGAAAAGGACCTCACAAACCAATGGTGGCTGCCCTCCTACTGTCTATTATCAGGATTTCTCCTTCAATGGAGGAGGAGGAGCTGAACGTCGCACAAACAGTCTACCTTGTCACTCTGTGACTTTTCATTGCACTAACTCACTCTGACCACCGTGCTTGTGGTATGCTGATCAGTCATGCAAAATAAAGCCCGCTGTAGACTCACTGATAGAAAGACTATTTATTGCCTTTGTTGTGGTGTCTGAAAAGTAGGCCCACTTGAAGCCCTGCAGTCATTTGGAAACCTGGCCCTGTCATTTCCTATTTTAGGACTTTAACTGGAGCAATTCTCAGTTGGGCGGAGATGAAGTCATCTGACCCTTTCTTCAGCCTTCAGACCGTCTTGACACGGCACAGAAATTCACTTAATGTACTCAGTAGAACGATTTAGCCTAGTTTTAGATTTCCTTTAAGCTTTGGGTGGTGCCCTGCTGATTTTTTTTGATTCGTGTGTTGGGATTTTATGTTTTAACCTATAAAGATATACAAATTGTACAGTTTAAAACCACCATTTTATGAAGGTTTCCCCTGTGACTCAATCACTCTTTGCTTTGCTTTCCAAAGGAGCAACGTCTGCGTTACCTGAAGCAGCAGGAGCGACGTCAGCAGCAAAGCGTTTCAGAGAGCGAGAAGCTGCAGAGGCTGAAGGAACGTGTAGAGAGCCAGGAGGCCAAGCTCAAGAAGATTCGCGCAATGAGAGGCCAGGTGGACTACAGCAAGGTCATCAATGGCAACCTGTGTACGTATACTTAAAATATGTGCATAACTTTACCACCACTCTTTAGAGACGATTATATTTGAGTATCAGATAGATAACTGTTTCACAGAAAGGTTGTCTGCGCTCGGCTCGAGCTATTTCACAGTCTATCAGACACTGAAAGAAGATTTATATCTCATATCAGTGCATACTTTATATTCAGAACTCTTGACTTTGGACGAATAAGAGTTCTGAAACGTCTTGGTCTTGAGGATCTTTTCGTTTCTTTAATAAAAGAATAGCATTTGATTTTTGATGAATGGTTTGGAGTATTTTTTCCCCCCAAAACAAAGAAGCTGTCTGTTGGTGCTGATCCAGATCCTTTTCCTTTTTTTCCCCCCCCCTCCTAAATGCAGCGGCTGAGATCGAGCAGGTTAGCAGCCTGTTCCAGGAGAAGCAGGCGGAGTTGCAGGCAGCTGTGTTGAGGGTGGAGCAGCTTAGCCTGCAGCTAGAGGACCTGCGGAGAGGAAAGCTGAATGGCATACAGGCGTCCCTGGGTGGCCAAGTAACCGGTGCTGCAGCGCTGGAGCTCCGCAAACTGTACCAGGAGCTTCAGGTAATGCAGAGTTAAAATTAGTGCATCATGTCGTGCATACTCTTACAAGGTCCGCTACGTTTACAGTGATAGCCGATTATCTTGGTCCAGTCTTTCTATGCATTTGTTTATGTCTTCACTCATCATCAGATTCGAAACAAGTTGAATCAGGAGCAAAACAGCAAGCTGCAGCAACAGAAGGAGCTTCTGAACAAGCGCAATATGGAAGTGACGCTTATGGACAAGCGTATCAGTGAGCTGAGGGAGCGTCTCTACAAGAAAAAAGCTGAGGCACGTCAAAAAGAGAACCTCCCTGTAAGACTAGGAGCCCTTAACATCTCCTGTTTACATATTTTTGGGGGCGGGAAAGTTCTGAAAGTTCTATTGTTTTGTTTTTTTCCCCTCTATCTCTCTGTAAGACATCAGCTTATACACTGCAGGGTTTTTTTTTTATTTTATTTAAAATGAAACATTTAAATGCTGTTTTTAAAGTTTTTATAGATACTCAAAGAAACGTTTTCATTTGTCTTCTTAGAGGAGCTGTAAAGCCCTTGGAGTAGTGAAAGTTGTATACAGTTTTCGCTTTTCAGCTGTTTTGACATCTCAAACATTTCTCATTCTCTGTTATTATAGCTGAATAGAGCCAATGGGCCTCCGTCTCCCCAGCCAGCTCCCGGCACTCTGGGTCGTGTTGCTGCTGTCGGGCCATATATCCAGGTTCCAGTACCGGCTCGACAGGAAGGCGGCTACACCATACCACCAGATCCACTGAAGCCACAGACTCTGGGTGTTAATAACCAAGCTAACCATGGCCGCACTAAATCAGGTTTGTTTAAACCCAAACATTTTACACATGGAGATTTTCTATTTTTTTAATTTTTTATTTTACAAAATGCAGAAATGTTTAAAAAACACTGACAAGTTTAGTACATGTAGTCTGAGAGTGCAGGTCCTATAGAACAGCGGTCCCCAACCCCTGGAGTGCGGACCGGTACTGGTCCATGAGACATTTGGTACTGGGCCTCGAGAGTTGAGGCTCGGGTGTGAAATTAATGCTTTTCAGGGTTTTTATTGGTTTTTAGCATTATTTTTTTTTAATCGTTTTTATTGTCAACTTAGTTTCCCTGGGTTTTTTCCCATGTGTTATGAATAAATCTTCTCTTTTGGTACCGGTACTGGTTTTATTTTGTTGTATTTATCCACGACACCTTAAGAGCCGGGCCGTGAAAATATTGTCGGGCATAAACCAGTCCGTGGCACAGAAAAGGTTGGGGACCGCTGTTGTAGAGCCAGCTGGTCAACGAAGCCATGAATGTCTGAAAGTGAGATCACTGATTTCAGACTTTGGACAGTATCAGAAACCTCCAATCATCCAGGGTTCTGTTCAGATAGATCATAAATCCAGCATTTCCAGCTACACACTTTCTGCATGCTGCTGAAGTTCCTTCCTCTGCCTGAACTGATTCCTTCCTACCTGACATCTCAGTTGATTCTCCACCTGGGCTTGATTTCTGTGATTGCTTTTCTTTCCTCCCTTCCTCTCTAACCTCACTCTTCTCCTGTGTTGTGTAACCTGTATTTCCCTTCCTTGTCTCTCCGTCTCTCTTTCATGTCTATCCTGTCTTGTCTTTGTGATGTCTGTCTCACTGGGTGTGGGGGTTGGGTGGGGGATGACTCTTCTTGGGGCAGACGGTGTGCGAAAGCCTCCCGGCCCTTGGAAAGTGTCTGATTTAGACATCGTTGTGGACCCGGTTCCCCCGTCCCTTCCAGAATCACACCCGGGCCCTGGAGCCTCCACTGGCTCTGACGGCACGTCCCGTGAGTGCACAGCGCTGCATAAGCAAAAGGATGGCACCTGCAGAACCTTGTCTTGATTGTAGCACAGGATCCACAGCATGCCCCAGATTTCATTTTTTCTCCCTCCATATTACAACAATGTAATCCATCATACAATTTTTATTCCATCTAATCGAGTTTCTTATTGCGTGGACTAATTGAGTATTTAAGAACTCTCCCCAGTAACACCATGAGCCACCCACACTCTAATCACTCACTGCTGTGATGGGTAAATTGCTACAACTGTCTCAGGCTGAATCCATAAATCACTGACTGGTCATTAAGATTCCTCTGTGGATTTGGCCAGTGACTTGAAAGTACTGGGGTGCTGTTTAAAAGCATAAGCTGCACGAAGTTGGTGTTGTTGATTGTAGCTGATATCATGCCTCACATGACTGATGGCAAAGCGCTGCTGGTCCTGTGTGTTCTCGTACACTTCTGAGAAGGTTCGCTGAGTTGAGTGCTTCGTCAGTTTAACATGTAAAGCAGTCCATAACATCGTGGCTTTGTTCTAACTTCACCTCATTCCCAGGCCTGCGGCCACCTTAACCTTCGCACCAAACTCTAACAGCTAAGCTGTGAGAATCACTTTTAGCTGTCAAACGCTTTACATGCACGAGGAATTTAACTTGTGCATGTTAAAATATCATAGGATTCACTCTTTAAGTGTCACGCCTGATAATCTGAGAAGAACCAGACCCAGATTTTCCCTTTTAGACTCTGGATAGTGTTGCCTTATTGTAACTGTTTAGACTTTTCTTTCATTGTAAAACATTTTGGTTTTTTATAGCAGGAAAAGCACAGCTGTGATTTATAACATTACAAGTAGTGCATTTGTTTTAGGTGTGCCAGTTCAATGGCTTTATCGTTATGCATGTTTACACACTCGTGGATTACAATCACAGCTGATGGAATGATTTTTGACAAAGTTTCTTCTACCTGTTCTTTCCTACTATAACAAGTCAAAATCTCTGGTCTACTAATATATGATAGCACTTATGTACATCTTTAACACATCACTCACCAGCATTATTGCTGTGTGACAGATTGTGACGGTTATTATAATTTGTGTGTGCAGCACTTATTTCTGTTGTTTTTTGTCATCTTTTTCTTTCCTTTCACGCTGTCCTTTCTGTTTGAAATTACTATTTTTTTTATTTGTTTTTATTTTTAATTTTGCATATTTTCTTTTTAGTTTCACATTTTCTGCAGTTATTATTATCTGTTATTAGCCAGATTATCTTAACTTTCATTGTAGTTACCAATAATAGTTACTAAGTTAAACACTACGTGACTAAAATCAGCAACATACTAATATGCATAAATTCCTTCCTCTACCTAACGTGAAGGCTCGGGATTTTGATCCTATTGATCAGCGGCGCCTCTTGAAACATTTAATTTGATGCAGTTTGTACTTTTAAAAGAAATAAAGAAAATCTCCCTTCTGATGTGTGAGAGTGGGGGAGCTCATGGGAAAGATCTTCTCCTTGGATCGATGTCTATTTGTTATCAGTGATGGACATAAATGTAACATAAAGCGAGCTCTTGGTTTCTTTATTGTGTCTGGTTAATAGGATGGGCATCTAAAAAAAAAAAATCCTGACCTCCAGTTGATACCGGTCAAAACAGTATAGTTGTTTTATGTGTTTACAACATTATATTTACTAGTGGTCTGGAAATGTCATCACTAATATTCCACACAGTGCACTTAGTCATAAGAAAAAGCTGCCGTTTAAGACTAGTGCTGATGGACATGCTTTTTCAAGTCACTTGTGTGATCTTTTCTTTCTTTTGCTCTCCACTAACTGTGTCCTGTTTATGCCATAGCTAATGAAACTGGTTGGCCTACTCTAGGCAAGCCCAGTGCAACTCTAAAACCTCCTGAGAGAAGAGACTCAGGGACTGATACCCAGGGCAAAAGTGCTCCCTCAGGCTCCCCCGGTGCTCCAAGTGCAGAAAAGGTACGTCCTCCTAAACTCCTTTCATAGAAAGCAAATGGAACCGAAAATGGAGAGCATTTGTCTTTAAAATAAAAAAACATTTTTTGAAACATGTTAGCTTCAGTTATAAGGCACAACCTTCACTTTGAAAGTGAATGCTCTCTGCTTTTCATCTGCATTGCACTTTACTGAGTTTCTATACAGCTTGGAGAGCAAAATGGCTAATTTTTGAGACAGGTCGGCATGTTTCATGCAAATTATGGGTAACCACGGCAACCTCCTAGGCCTGTATGATACCAGTTGCACATATGGTAAATTGGCTGCTGAAGATGGATTTTTATTCAGTGGGAAGGAGTGAATCTTTCAATTTTTTCTGCATATAACAGCTGTTTTAATGATAAATGCCTGTATGCTTCTTCACAGGTGCTAGACTCCAAAATGGCTGTGTCCTCCCCAGCCATCAACAAGCCGCAGCCACCACCATACGGATCCCACCTCACCTCCGCAAACTCAGCCAGCTCCTTGGAGCGCCGTAAAGATGCACCTCCCCCACCTCGCCCACTCCCAAACCCACCAGCTCCCGCTTGGCCCCGTGTGCCCCCGCCACAGGCTCGTCCTCCCAGCAGATCCAGCAGCGTATTTCAGTGCCACCAAGCCCCACCTTCCAGCCTAATGCACCGCTCTTTCCTTCTGGAATGAGTGAACGACTGGATCCTCCGCCAGCTGTGGCAGTGCGTCCCTTCATCCCAGACAGAGGATCACGGCCTCAGTCTCCCCGAAAGGGCCCACCTACCGTGAACTCTAGCTCCATCTATCACATGTACCTCCAGCAGTTGGCGCCAAAGAGCCAGCCACTAAAGCCTGCTATTAAAGCAGGTAAGAACTGAGATTTTGGGACAGTTTTCTATGAATCTTTTGCCCAGAAATTGAGAATATTTAGTTAGTTGCAGTCTGAAATGTGATGATATACTTATATCATATAAATCAAATTCTTTTAAGTTTTCAAGTGTGAAAAAATAAAAGGAATTTTAGGGGCGACGCAAGCTTTGAGGACATATGATAGACAATTTTAACTTTGGCATTTCAGACTGCCAACTCTTGTTTATTATAAGCAAAATGAAAAAGTGAATTAATAATGAAAGTAATGATGGCATCAATGCCCTCAACTTTAACTCTACCATGTCTGCTCTCTCTTAGTATACGGGAAGCCTGTTCTCCCCTCCAGCTCGACGCCTCCCTCGCCTCTGTCTTTTGGTCAGTCAGGAGGGGCCTTCCCATTGCTCCAAGGCCAACCCAGTGGTGAGGACACATTAGACGGAGAATATGACGATCATGAGAGCTTCCAGCACCTCGAGCCGTCAGCACCTCCTCCCAGTGTGGAGAACATACCACGGCCACTCAGCCCAACCAAGCTGACGCCAATGGTACATTCCCCGCTGCGCTACCAAAGCGACGCTGACCTCGAAGTGCTCCGTAAAAAGCTGGCCAACGCTCCAAGACCACTGAAGAAGCGCAGCTCCATCACAGAACCAGAGGGTCCCAGCGGACCCAACATCCAGAAACTGCTCTACCAGAGATTCAACACTCTTGCAGGAGGCATAGAGGGAAATGGAGTTGGTGGATCTGGAGGTGGGAGTGGTGCAGGTAATGGAACACCATTTTATCAACCAAGTAATCCTCCTGGATACCTAGGAGGTGACCCTCTGGCTGATACAGACAATGGGAATCTCCTCTCAGAAACTCCGCTAGCGCCAACACCAGGCGAAGAGGAGCCGGGCTCTGACGCTCCCCCTGCCACTACTGATGCTAATGACAATGAGCCAGTGGCCTCACCAAAAGGAGGGCACATGGATCCTGCTGAAGCCGAGGGATCAGAAGACAACAGCAACAACAACGTGGGAGGCTCAGAAGCGGCGCTGCCCAGCCCTGTGCCGGAGGTCACCACTCCAGAGGAGAGTGGCACAGGGGTCTCACAACCACTGGTGAGAGACACACATACACAGACTTTTATTCAAAGAAATAAAAGTGCTTCAAAGGCTCATCCCTCCTCTCTATTATTACAGGAGAAGCGAACAAACCTAAAAAAACCAAACTCTGACCGCATTGGTCATGGCTTCAGAGTGAAGTTTAACCCTCTGGCTCTCCTGCTGGACGCCTCGTTGGAGGGAGAATTTGACCTGGTCCAGAGGATCATCTATGAGGTGTGTTCTGATTCTATTTATAGACTTTGTTTTATATGTGAATGTAGTTTAAGCACTCATCTTTTTTTGTTCCGGTCCTTCCTTTTTCCAGGTGGAAAATCCCAGCACTGCCAATGACGAAGGCATCACACCCCTGCACAACGCAGTGTGCGCGGGACATCACCACATAGTCAAGTTCCTGCTGGATTTTGGAGTGAACGTCAATGCTGCTGACAGTGATGGATGGTGAGTCCTCATACGCAGGAAAACTGGATGATGACGCAAAATGCAAAGGTTTACGTGACCTGTTGTATCCATATTTCGTGTTTGTGTGTGCTTCAACAGGACTCCTCTTCACTGTGCAGCTTCCTGCAACAGTGTTCATCTCTGTAAGTTGTTGGTCGAGTCAGGGGCCGCCATCTTTGCTAGCACCATTAGCGATGTGGAGACTGCTGCGGATAAATGCGAGGAAATGGAAGAGGGCTACCTCCAGTGTTCCCAGTTTCTATACGGTGAGAAACATCACACCAATTGGTGTGTACAAATTCTAGAAAGACTTCCAATCCTTTGAGTCCAATCGCTGAGGCTGTAATAAAAATAATGTAGCAAATGTAAGATTATACTTAAATATCCTGATTGTATCCTGAACTGTAAATTATACTAACTGTTTGTTTGGATTCTCTTACATGCAGGTGTTCAGGAGAAGCTGGGCGTAATGAACAAGGGGACGGTGTACGCTCTGTGGAATTATGAAGCCCAAAATCCGGACGAGCTGTCGTTCAGTGAGGGGGACGCCATCACCATCCTGCGACGACAAGACGACAGCGAAACGGAGTGGTGGTGGGCACGACTCGAGGACAATGAGGGCTATGTTCCCCGCAACCTGCTGGGGGTAAACGTCACTCCTCCCACCCCCATTTCAATTTTTTTTTCAATCAAATTTCAGCTTTGTTATCCAAATTTAAGTTTAAGCAAAAATGAAAATTTACCCTCGAGCTGATTGACTCTTTGACTTTTTAGTTAGATGCCACTTACATGTACCATTGCAAAACAAGAATTCATCAAAGATTTCAGTGACTAATAATAATAATAAATCATTTCTCCTGTTGTTTGCTTTGCAGCTCTATCCTAGAATCAAACCTCGTCAGCGCTCCCTGGCATAGTGTCTCACTCCACTGACCTGTGGCTAACAGCTGGACTACTGACACGACCAAGAGCAGAGAACAACAAAAGAGCCTGGTGCTCTCTCTTCTCCCTGTGGCCATAACCTCCCCCCTGAGCCTTGTGCTTCTCACAAAAATCCTTTTTTTTTTTCTTTTTTTCTTTCTTTCCTTCTGGGCACAGAACTCGTGACACATATGCTTACAAGCTGCACACACAAACACAATGAAACACAAGCACTCCGATGTTTATTAAATGACTTCATCCCACCCACAGCCCTACCCCACCCCCACCTCTCTTCAGCCTGTCGCTCTGATATTGTCCCGACTTGGATTTGATCCCGTTTCAGTGCCAGCTCTGTAACTGACATCAATTTGAAGAATCAAACACTAATCCTTGTCTCAGTATTTCTTGCAGTGTTCACACTTGTTTAGCCATCTCCCTACTGAGGTCTGTGGTGGCAATGGTTTACACGACACTATATTGATAACTGGAAGTTCATCTTTAAAGTTGGGAGAAGTCGCTGATTTTTTTTTTCCATTTTATTTTATTTGTTAATGTAATGTAATAAGAGTTATTGGACATGAAGTATTTTTTTAAGGCTAATTTGATCCCTGTGACTAAAACACTAATGCAGAAAATATGTACTTTAATGAAGGCCTAACCACCAAAGATGAAAATGCATCAACTTTAAATCTATTAGTCCCTGTGATCTTGCAGAATTGTTGAGTGAGATAATCAATTGATTTGCTGCTATCAGAAAGGATTATTAGTTCTCAGACTTTAGAGTCCTTCGAGACTATGCTGTAAATCCTGAGTATTTTTGTCAGACAGGCCAGTGAAATTCCAGTGTATTCAAGAAAAGATGAATATAGATTTGACAGTTCGCACATTGCCATGAATTGCATTTCACAAACATCGTTGCAAGATGTGATTTCTTTATTTATTTTTCTTCCGTTAGTGTCATCTGTTCAGAATGTGGATGCAGGATTGTTGCGGATGTGTGGCGAGAACATTAATAAATTATAAGTGAGCCTTTGAACAATAACCCCTGTGAGCTGGTGTGCGTCATTCTGTGTGAACCAAAGTTACATCTATATCTATATATCATTCTACTCTTTTAGCTGTTGGTTCTCAAACTGTGGAGCTACGGATGGTCAGATATTGGCAACTATGTGTGCAATATAAAGGGAACCTAACGTGACTTGGAATGATTTTGGAAGAGGAAATAATAGTTTTACTGAAGCTTCTTTTGTGTTTAGCTTTGTTAAGATAAAATTCAGAACTGGTTCTTTTTTTATTATTATTATTATTATTATTGATTGATTGGAAACACTGGGGTGTGAGGGTTCAGCTGTTGGTGGGAACTGTTGGGGGAACATAACCTGCACATAGCCAACGTGTCAAATAATGAGGTCAGGTTATGTCTATTGTGAGCATCCACAATTGTAACAGTATTTTTAAGAAAAAAAGCATAACATGTCCCTTTAAAGATCTGATATAACAAAAATAATGAGCCAGGCCAGAATCAACTTCTCATATTTAGTTATAAAAGATTCATAGCATAGGGTGGGTTTTTATTGACAGCTTTCATTAAAAGTTTAATCTAGCCTCCAAGGTCAATATGAAATATGAAAACAATCTGCCAAACCATCTTGCTTTGTTTACCCTTCTTGAGGAAGTGGAGTTTGAACTGATTTTAATAAACTGTATTAATAATCTATATTCAGTCTTTTCATTAGAAACCCCCCACTGAGTTAGGTTCTTTTAAACAGGATTATATGTGACAATACCCTAAATCTCAGGGTTTAAAATGCTGCTGATGGGAAATTTTATTTTAGTTCTTGTGTAATTTTACAAAGATGGAAATATCTCTCCGAACACCTTTCTGTTCTCAGATGAATGAAAATGCATTCCATGAAAGAGTTCAGGTCTTAGGAGGTTAAAATTCAAAAACCATATCCAGAGAGAATAGAAAGTAGTCTTTCTTTGTAAAATTGCTATATCACCATGGATGAATTATGCTTAACTAATTGCCTTTGGTTAATAAGCATTTAAAACAGTTTGTCTTATAAAATTCAGTTGTGAATTGCAATAAAACGGGCATCTGCAGTAGTACACTCCAGATGTGCACGTGCATAAGATGTGACAGTTGTCAATCAACTCCATGATGCCTACAGCAGTTGTTTCATTAGTGGCAAGGAAGAGGTTTGCTTAGCAGCAGCGTGGTGCTAGATCGAGTCTGCAGTGCCTTCAAAGCAAAGCCAATGAGATATCCTCATCTCAAAAAAATAACTTCATGCTGTGTATCAACTGAGACTTGCATTATGCAGTTTAACTTTGTTTCCACCGGAGGGCAATAAACCATCTCAGATGACTTGTCTTCTAGCTCCAATCTAGTACTAAAGGGTTTTTCATTTACATGAAATTAAAATTAACTTAATAAAACTATTTCCCTGTTACTACTATCACACAGTACTCAGTTTACAGCTGTTACAAGGACTGTTATGCCAGGTTCTATTAGAAAAGGCTTACAGGAAAGTGTGCATTAACTAATTAATAGCCATGTTTTAAATCCACTGCAAAGGACAACACTATCCCACAGAGAGAGCTACTTAAAAACAGATCAAACTTTCTTAAATCCATCCAGCCTGTGAGCTGGTGCCGGACTGGTTTATAAGGTCACAAAAACCAGCAACCTTCTCCTGTAGTTCCTATGGAGACCTGGCTATAGTCCAGATATCGTGCTGAGCAACACAGCTGCTTCTGTAGAGGCCCAGCTTGATCACCAGTTTGATGAAATGCGTCCTAAGCTTGCCTTTGTTCACTGTTTGTAGGTGATGAGATGGAGAAGGGAGGGTTTTCTGAGGCCAGAGTGACCGTGGCAGCTCTGGATTTTTCTAAAGTTTGGAACTGACTGCTGGGAATAGTAGGAGGGTGAGAAGTATGAGAAAAAAGGCACAAGTCATACAGGACAGATAATCTCATTGTGGTGTGAAGTACATTATAAAGAAACTGCTGATGGAGAGTTTAGACAGTTAACTGTAGCTAAACTGGGAGATGTTTTCTAAAAACAAAAAATACATATTAATATAATTGCTGCAGTAATTTCCCAACTGTAAGAAAAAACCCATTTATTTAAAATATTTAAGGCTTAGAGTTTGAGCACCTTAATTTTTCTTCTTGATTGTTCCATTGGCTATTTTTCAAAGACAGGATGAAATCTTCACAATTAATAAACTGGAACATGGTCATTGTGTCTAAATTAATTTAATTTTTTTTTCTTTTTTTTCTAACACAAAAATACAAATCAAATAGAAAATAAATAAAAGTAAAGTAAAAACAACAAAAGATCTACACCTCCAGAGCATTTAAAACCTAGCTTTGACCTCAACCTTCAAATGACAACGATACAATGGTGAACAGCGCTCGTATCTTTCTACACTACAACTTCCATGAAGCAGTGGACTACAGGTTTGGAATAATAGAGCGCATGCGCGTTACCTGCTCGAGTAAATCGATGACCTCATGAGCAGCCCGGACCAACCAGTCGGTTGAATTCTCTGCCTGCCGTCTGCGCTGAATGTTTTTCTTGCGCTATACCTTTTCGAGCACATGAAGCGCTTACCAGAAAAATGTTCACCGTAACGAGGTAAGCGGACTGTCCTCAGACAGAACTTTACCGTTAACAGCTAAACCATTAAACCGCCCGAGAACCCACACCGCCGGTTGGGCTGCGTTGTTGTTGGTGGTGGTGGTTGTGACCTCCGTACCGGTGTGGCCGGTCAGTGCTACAGCCGTCGTTGACATGACTGCGGTGAATTTACTCGAGCTGTCTTTGTTGAATTTTCACTGATGCAGCTATTTACTCTGGAGCACGCGAGTATCCAAAAACCTCGCCCGGACAAGGTGAGAGTCCGGTACTATTTGCATGTGTTTTGCAAATTGCTTTTTGTTGTGTCGCCTCTACCTGTTTGTGGAGTTTATTAAAAAAGAAAAAGAAAGGGGGGAGCTGTATAGGCTAGATAAACCCACTAAAGTTTGAAAAAGTAGGTCTAAAGAGGACCTTGGCAATTTCCTTAGTGGTTTTGGCCACGTTTTTATAATATCTCTTATAGTGTAACTTATTTTTTGGACAGGACAGTGGTGTTATAATCTATTAAAGAAAATAAAGGTTAATGTCTGAACTCTAACCTGTGCTCATAATTAACTACTGAAGCTGTGTGACCAAAACTAAACTTACACCAACTCACATATCCACGTTTAAGAATCTAAATGGAAATTTTGGCTAATATTATTTAGATTTTTGGAAAATTGATTACAAGAAGGCCACCTTTACTATTTGGACAAATGAATCACAAATGAATTTTAATAAGCAGATCTTTATTGTGAACTTTGGCCAATGTGTACAGAGCTGGAAAGTAAGCCTTTCAGAGTCTTTAGGCACAAAGGTCCGTGCATGATAACGTTTAACTCTCTTTCATGTACATTAAGTTTTGATTTGAGTGCAGAGACATGTGAGTAAAGTACAAATATCCTTCAGAACGTTTCTTCCCTCTTACTGCCCAGCTCTAAGACTTTGCCTCTCCTGAGTTAATATTCACTTCTATCAAGTAAAATCACTCTTTTGAGAAGTCATGAAATCATAGGTCACAACACAGAGATTAGCACAAATCACCACGGTGGTAAGCTTATTCCCTGTTGGATGTTTATCAGAAAGGACTTACATTCCCGAGAATGAAAATGCTCTAAATCATTTGGGGGGGGGGGGGGGCTGTGTGTGCTTGTAATGGGCCGCTGCTGTCTTGTGAGACGGCTTACTGCTGTGGTGTGATCAGCAGACGTGTTTTCACTGTAAACACTGGAGAAGCCTTACATGATGTACCATGCTGTTATTTTGTCGACAGCATTAATGTGCAGACAGGGAGTCGGCTGGATACAGATGAGCATCAACAGGCCCTGACATTCAAATTACAAGGTTGTTTTTTTTTTTTTAAAGGGGCACTTTGCAAGTGATTAGTCTGTGTTGTAAGCACATGCTTTCCCAAGTGGGAATGTTTATCCAGTGGCTATGATATAATTGGGTAGTATTAACAAGCACAGATATATTGGTATTTGTGTAACTATACAGATTTGCAAATAGTGTCTAACTAAAATCAATTTGAGGCTTTTTGATTCAACTGTTTCTTGTGGTGAATCATCTCACCTGGCCACCTTAGACTGTGTTTACCTAATGTGCTTGTTGGGTCCTCTTGCCTGACTGATGAGCAAACACAACAGTGATGCATGCACCTTTACAAGCCTTGCTGCTCTGTGTGAGTTCAGTTTATCAGTTGCTGTTAGCAGCTATGTCAGGTCAGCTTTTGGTGATCAAAAGCACACCGAGTGGTGCATTATGACATGTTGTGATCCATCCCGATCTCATAGCAAAAACGTGAAATAGTCACTCAAAAGTAATCTATTTGATCATGTTCGTGGACATGTATTGTCACACTTTTAATGACATTTGGTACAACTCATTTCAATAGGAAGTACGTTTCATTTCTGCAGCACTTATGCTGTCCAGAATCATCAACAGGAACACATCTCTATGGAAACCAAGGAAACAAAACTTCATAACAAAGGGCAGCCATAATCGCTGTCTAAGTCTAACTCAATAGGTTTTATATCTTAAACCTACAATAAGTAAGTTACTTTTAATCCCTGAATAATAGGGCTGTGACTCCTTTTGTGATATATTTCAAGCTTTTCTGTTTTAATTTTGATTATTAAGACTGGCAGGTTATGGAAATTTAGAAATACAGAAATCTATACATGCAGATCATTACGTATGATCTGTATTTTAAGTTTAGTTTCAACTGTAATTTACTCAAACTTAGTTCATTACACAGAACCACAATCATGGGGAAGAATCATGCTAACACCTTTTCATATGAATGTTTATCTTTTTGAATTAAATCACAGAGCAAGTGAACTTGTTTTGTAACTGTTTTAATTTGAGTTTCACAAGAAAATAAAAGTAGGAAAATTGTATCCATAATGATGATT